AACAATGTTAGAATCTATTAGGAAAGGGATAGATAAGGAGATAGTAAATATCATAATGCCCTATATAAATCAATGGTATGTCCATGCCCTGAATATGGGTGCAGTTCTGGTTGCCCCATCTCAAAAAGATATATTAGAGTTGAAAAAAGTACAGAAAAGGGCAACAAAAGTGATTAGGGGGATGGAACAGCTTCCATATGAGAAGAGATTAAAAGGACTGGGAGTTTTCAGTTTAGAAAAGAAACAATGAAGGGGCGATATGATAGAAGTCTACAAAATCATGAATGGTGTGGAGAAAGTGCATAAGGAAGTGTTATTTACCCCTTCACACAACACAAGAACCAGGTGTCACCTAATGAAATTAATAGACAGCAGGTTTAAAAATAAACAGAAGGAAGTACTTCTTCACACTATGAGCTCGTTGCCATGGGATGTTATGAAAGCCAAAACTATAACTGGGTTAAAAAAAGAATTAGATAAGTTCATGGAGGATAGGTCCATCAGTGGGTATTAGCCAAGATGGCCAGGGATGCAACCCCATGCTCTAGGTGTCCCTAACCCTTTGACTGCCAGAAGATGGGACTGAACAACAGTGGATGGATCACTTGATGAATTGCCCTGTTCTGTTCATTCCCTCTGAAGTGAACAGGATACTGGGCTAGATGGACCATTGGTCTGACCCGTATGTTCTTAAGATCTTGTGGGGCATAGTTAATATCTTAAGTGTTTGTACAACTAGCACATTGTAGGTTTTGGGCATCTTCATAATACAAATAACGATATTTGCCTGGGAAGAGGCCCAAAAAGCTGAAGCAGAGAGAAGGACAGCAGACTAGAAGCCAGGAGTTTCAGAGAAAAAGAATGCTCCTCCTTTCCAGGGGGTAAAGGCTTTTGAATTTACTAGAAACAACAATGGATGAGTTCCCAAGAAGAGTACCTTAGTAGGAATCCCAGCAGCTTTGGTGTGGGGATGGTCAGACTTTGCCTTTGCCTCTAGGCATTGCCCCTAGACAGAGGGACCTCTCAGCTTTGTTAAGTCTTCCGGCTATTAGAGCAGTGGTCTCCAAACTTTTTTGATCGCGCACCCCTATCAGTAAAAAATTTTTGAGCACGCACCCCCTGCCGCGCCGGCTCTACCATTTTTGCTGAAGCAAAAAAAAAAAAAAAAGGTGCTCGGACTCCCGCCTGAACTGCCGAAGCAAAAAAAAAAAAAAGCACTCCTCCTGCCGCGCACCCCCAAGGATCCTCTTGCGCACCCCACTTTGGAGACCACCGTATTAGAGGTCTGGTAAATTTTTCAAGTCACTTTGGAGACCACCGTATTAGAGGTCTGGTAAATTTTTCAAGTCCTAGGTATTATGCATGCAAAGCAAAACTGGGTCAATTCCTCCTGCTGACTAACATACAAGAAAGAGCACTAAACTTCTCATCTCAACCAAAGCAGTCAATGCTCCGCCCACTAAAAGATCAAAAATTAAATCAAAATAATCCACAATCCATTCCTACTATATACAATCCTTTCCTGGATTCACCAAACACTAACCTGCTGACAAATAGAGCAAACCTCCCCACCAAAAACTGAAAAATGGTCAGGATGCTAAACCAAAACCTAAAATATCAATATATGAGTCATTGGGAAGAACAAATTAAATCAAATAGTAAGCTAGACTCCTTTAGGTCTCTATACAGAACTACTTCCTCATCAGTGATCATAAGCTAGAAGTGAAAATGAAACAAAGTTTTTAGAGCTAGTTCAGAAAGGCGCAGTAATGCAAGGAGGACAAAGGACAGGTTGAGACGGAGACATTCTACTCTAATGTCCAAGGTACAAAGATGTGTGAGAAATTATTCCTAGCAATTTGAAAAAATAAGTTTTAATGAAAAATCCGCTCCCTCGCTCTGGGGGAAAAGGAGAGAGATTACAGAAGAGGCAATGTGTATCTTTTCTGGCATGTTTAGTATGTTTCCTTTTTTCTTTCTCAGTTTTTGCCTTACCTTGTACACTTTTATTTTGTCCCGCTATGTTGTGTACTATGTGCTCTGTATTGTCCACTTCTCCCCAAAGTTTTAAATGCACTCTCTCTTTCTGGGTGCCTCCATTTTAGTAACATCAGTCAGTATCATCCTAGTTGTAAATCTTTAAGGGAGAGAAAAGAGTGAGTGGATTTGGGAAGAAGAAGTGGTGGTGGTGGTGGTGGTGGTAAAGAGAGAAATGAAAAAAGAGGAAGTAATAGATGCTGCATACACATAAAAAGATACATTCTGAACTATTATAACAAAAAAGGAGGAGTGAAGCCAGAATGGGAAAGGAAGCAAAACAAAAGGAAGGAAAAGATGTAGGAAGTTATATTTTTAGAAGTTAACTAGAAAGTTGATTGAAGATTGTTAAAAGCAGGCCAGAATACGGTCACTGCCTCTATGAAATTTTAAAGGAATAAAACAATTTCTTCCTATTATTCCTTTAAATTGAGGTTTGTGATGTTGGGGGAATGGTTATTTTTTACCTTGGCTATGGTGAAACCAGAGTAAGTTGCAATGGTGTATTGTATTAGTTAGGAAGGAATATATGGGCCCCAAAAACAAAGGTGTTAATATGACCCTGTAACTGTCCAACCTGAAACTGTTTTAAATAAGGTTGGAATGCAAAGATCTGAGCCCACTTAATACGATGGCAAACTCATTCTTAAACATTTTTAAACCCTTTATTAAAGATACAGGGGGAAAACAGAAAGTAAGAGCATTTGAAATGTAAAGTATTAAGTAAGGCTTTCATTTTAAAAACATCCCTTATTCCCTTCAGCTGTGAAGAGTCTTTAGAACAGAGGTGGCCAACCTGAGTGCCAAAGAGCCACAGTAATCAGCAGCCCCTCCCCCCCCCCCCCCATCAGCTCCCAGCACCTCCCACCCACCGTTAGCCCTGCTGATCAGCACCTCCCGCTCCCTCCCTGAACCTCCCGAAACAGCTGATCCGGGTGTGCAGGAGGCTGTGGGGTGGGGAGGAGCGAAGGCATGGCAGGCTCAGGGGAGGGAGCGGGAAGGGGTTGAGTAGGGGTAGGGCCTGTGGCAGAGCCAGGGGTTGAGCAGTGAGCACCCCCTCAGCATATTGGAAAGTTGGTGCCTGTAGCTCCAGCCCCAGAGTCGGTGCCTATACAAGGAGCTGCATATTAACTTCTGAAGAGCTGTATGTGGCTCCAGAGCCACAGGTTGGCCACCCCTGCTTTAGAAGATTACAAAAATAGAAAAAGAACACCCTTGTGTGCAGTCTTTTAGATGGTACTGAAGATAGTAATTACTGTTATTTTTGAGAAAAGTTAGCTGAGATGGGCTGGAGCTGGTATTGTTGCTGTTATTAACGTCCATTCATAGGAAAACAATCTTCCCCTTCTCTTGTCTTTTAGCCAGCCAGCATTCACCAGAGCTAGCTTTTCCTCCTGAAGTCTCTTTTTGAAGACCCCAGAAAGGGAATGATGGGCAGAATAGCTCAGTGGTTCTCCATCAGGGGTACACATACCCCTGGGGGTATGCAGAGGTCTTCCAGGGAGTACATCAACTCATCTAGGTATTTTGCTAGTTTTACAACAGGCTATATAAAAAGCACTAGCAAAGTCAGTAGAAACTAAAATTTCATAGAGGCAGTGACTTGCTTATACTGCTCTATATACTATAAACTGAAATGTAAGTACAATATTTATATTCCAATTGATTTATTTTATAATTATATGGTAAACATGAGAAAGTAAGCAATTTTTCAGTAATAGTGTGCTGTGACACTTTTGTATTTTTATGTCTGATTTTGTAAGCAAATGGTTTGTGAGGTGAAATTTTGGATATGCAAGATAGCCTCCTGAAAGAGGTACAGCCTGGAAAGGCTGAGTGCCACTGGAATAGCTCATCCCCTCCACCCCCAATTAGGCCTAATTTCCAACAAAACAGTTTTGGTCTGTTTATTTCCAGTCCAGCACTTCTCTTGTTTACCAGGCATGACCTTAACATAGTCCTTGAATTATATCAGTAGGCCTTTTTGTTTAGGTTAATACAGTCTTATTTCCTTTTGCACCTTCTCGCATCAACATTTGTTGTTATAGGTTAGAGACATTTTATAAACTTTCTCTAACTTTTTACAGTTGAACTCACAATTAGTGTAAATTTGTAGGCCCAATCATCACAAGTGCAAGCTTTTGTTTGCACCAAGGCGCCACGTGTACATTAAGCATTTCCACTGGTGTAGCTATATAAGTGTGGTTATATCAGTACAAATATCCTAGGCTTAGATCTGATTCCTATTTTCACTGTTTGAGATTTTTGTCAATATTTTGTACCATATTGTAAATGGTTTTCCTGTCTGCTAGATTTTTGTCATCCATCAAATGAAGTCCTAGATCTGATAGCGTGCTAGTCTGTTTTGTAGGGTGCTATGGCTCATGCAATTCTTTTCTACTGGTCTTGGCATACATTACTTTTAAAAATAAGAATGGAGGTGGACAAGGGACCTCTTACGTAAAAATGTCACATTTGAATCTTTTGGGCTGTGAGATGATCACTTTCTAGTCAGCCATTAAATTGTTTAGTCTTTGAATAAAATTGGTAAAGACAGAATTCTTTGTGTACTTGCAGTCTATGTGCACTTTTCTGCTGAACAAAAAAGATTCAGTAGATTTGACTCTTGGCAAGAGGTAGTCAAGATGGCATCATGCAAAGCAGCAACCCCATCTTCACTATATCCATGCCACCTGGCACATCGCAGGTAGTGGGTCTCATTATCTGGAAGACATTTTTAGTCCAATGTTTTTTTCAAGCTTTTTCGTAGCATGGACCTTGTTTTAATACAGAAACTGCCCCAGATTGCCTCAGGGACCTGTCTCATGCCATTCAGGTCTGCATAACATCTCTTTGGCATCTACAGCAGTTACCAATATGGGAAAATTATGTTTGACTAGGTACTTTTAGTAGAGCTGGTTGAGAATTTTTGAAGTTTTGATTAAAATATGTCACAGAAGATTTCCACTGTTTGACTGGCTGTTATTTTGAGTTGTCTTTAATGCCTTTTAGCAGCTTAAGAAAGGAGGAGGACCCACCAGCACCATGTGACCAGCCAGATTGCCACCCAATTTGTGTACTGTACTGCTGTCTTTTGTGCTATATGGAGCCCTTCTTCCCTAGCCCATGTGTTAAGAATAAGTAATGATGGAAATAGATAAAATACGGTAGATTGGAGCTGCTTCATAACTTTGGATCTATTTTGCAAGAATTCCAAGTCTTTACCTGGTGACTCCGCCCTTCACACATTACAAGATGATTGGACTTCTCTAAATGCCTTGGGACTGGCTTATAAGAAACACTTTACACATATATTCTCATTAAGGTACTGTACATTACTAATATTAGAAGTTATTACAAGTAGAAACTTGTTCAGCCAAAATCATTTGAAAATTCCTGTTTTAATGCGGTGTTCCCCTGAGTACTATTAGAAAGTCAGGCCCCTGCCTGTGCTAAGCACTGTAATGTGACTGATTAACTTGATATTGCAGCACAACTTCCTCCACTCTGTTCATTTTCCTGTGGTAAAATCTCTTCTGTGTTGTTACAGACTTTCTTTGCTGTTGTATAAACCAATGATTTCTTCAAACAGAGTTGAACAACTTAGATGATAAATATGTTTCCCTTAGATCTCTCTAAGAACAGGAAGTTCTTTTATATCTTCTTCCTGCTATCACAGGGGTGTGGGGGTTTGATAGTGCTTTTCATAAGAAGAGTAAGGAGGCTTTTCTTGGGGGCTGGCGGGGAAGGAGGATGGGGGGGGGAAATCCTGATACAATGAATGACCAAACTGAACTAATTCAGGTTCTCCTTAACTCTGAAGTGTTCATAGTTTTGTGTTCCATAATTTATGGTAACTTACTGTTTTCTTTAGGCATTGACAGTGCACACAGTATGTGAGATATTACACTTTTTGGAGACGCTCTAAAAGCTGGTTGTATTGGACTTCTGCTGAAACAATGAGTATTATAGTATTGGTTGTGTATGAAAAATTAGAGATTTGCTTTAATTAAAATAGATATGTTGTGGGCCTTTTTTAAATTTGGAAAATTTAGAATCTCTTATTAAAATCAGGAATTAACTCATAACATGATTGAGTTATATTATTAATAATTGGGGGAAACTATCCAGGGAAATACTGCTTATCTGGCACACCTGTTGTCAGAAGCAGTTTAGAACCCATTTGAGGGCTAGGAATGGGACTCTGGTTGCTGACAATTTTCCTTTATACCATGCTAGTATAAGAGAGTTGAGCCGCTTATCATCTGTATCTTTTCAAGGACAGCATATACGGTGGCTTTTATTTATGTTACTTAGGCCCTTATTCTGTAGGATACTTTATTCAGGTGCCGGGGTCTGCCTGTGCAAAACATGGGCATTCTGATCTATATAGGTCTTTATACTGTCTGTCTCCTCACTGTAGTATCTGAGCGCCTTCCGGTAGTGCATGTTGTCTGTTCTCTCATCCTCTCCTCAGGTGGAGGAGCATGTGCAGTGGAGTGTCTTGTTTAGGTAGGGAGTTTGGATTGGTTTGTTTTTTATACATATATCTGTTGCTATGTGTTTTTATTAGAGAAGATGAGGTGAAAAGTGTGCTTTGCACTTTAAGTGGAAAGTGGCTAGGGTGACCAGCCGTCCCAATATCGAGCAGTTTGTCCCGCGTCCCGACTGAAGTACGGTCGGGACGCCATTTGTCCCGATATTTTGTTTCAGGCGCTTTTTGCACACCTGCCCCCCCTTGTTACTTAGGCGGCGGTGACCGGCAGGGGGAGTAGGGGGAGTGCCTTTTCAATTGTTACACTCACCCGGCATGTCCGGGTCTTTGTCGGCACTTCGTTGGCGGGTCCTGCAGTCGCCGACAGTATTCGGCGGCGGGTACTTCCTTCTTTGGTGGCAAGGTTTATTATCCGCCGCCGAAATGCCGCCAAAGACCGTCAGCGACTGAAGGACCCTCCGCCGAAGACTCGGACGGGTGACTGTAACAATTGAAAAGGCGTTCCCCCTGCGGCGGTCCCGATATTTTGGAATTCTCATCTGGTCACCCTAAAAGTGGCAGGGTTTGTGTTGGTCCTTAGTTCCTGGGGGAGGGCGGAAAGGGGGGTCATTCCACAGTCTCAGACTGTCCCCAAGAAAGTTCCGTCTCCCACACAAGTGAGCTTTACTGTGGTTGTAGAGTTCCATTGTGCTAGAAGAGTGAAGTTGTTGACCCAGTCTTTGTTTCGGAGCTTTAGATGGTCTTTTGGGCATCCTGGGCCCAGGTCATGGACCACTTGGGAGAAAAAATTGAGACCTTGTACTTGATTAAAAGTTCTATGGGAAGCCAGTGTAGAGAGCAAAGGACAGATCTGATGTGCTCACAGTAGCCTGTGTTGCTGAGAAAAGAGACTGCAGCATTTTCTACTAATTGGAGTTTCCAGAGTGCTGAAGGTTCCATGCCCACCTATACTGCATTGCTGTACTCCAGCCAAGTGATGATGAAGGCATGAATAACTGAGGCCAGGTCTTTGTCCACCAGGATAGGATGGAGTCTCATAGCCAGCTGGAGATGGTAGCTATCACTACTTGTTGCGGTTGCTATGTGAGAGCTCAGTGAGGAATCCAAGAGTACTCCTAGACTATGGATTGAGTTGACCAGTTTTGCAAATCGTTATTTTTATTAGATTTTAAAGGAATCTTTCAGCTTGAAATTTTAATTAAAACAAATGCGTTTAAAAGTAGTTTCAGGGATTACATCTGCTCCTGCACCCCTTGCTGCCTTTTGTGAGCTCACAATTGCAGGAAAATTCCCAGACTATAGCTGGGAAACAATTTAATTGACTCTACCCAAAATGATCTAAAATTAAGAAAGCAAAAAAACTTGAGAATTGGAGAAAAATCACTAGTTTCTTTCAGATGTAATAGTTATTACTTCTAACAAGTTGAAAATATTAGAGTTTACATTGGTTCTTTAATTATCTGACTCATGTGAAACTAGCCTCTTGGAACCTACCCGTCTGGAGCATCCATACTTACACTGAGGTAGGGCCATATCTTTCAGTACTCCTGTCATACTTCCTGGGGTTACCCAGAGTTGTGAGGCACTTCGCTACTACCTGCCCATGCCCTTACCAGGAGAAAGCCTTGTCTGAGCCTGACAGGGGTCAGAACCCCACTCTACCAGCCACAGGCAACACAAGCACTCCTCCCTCAGCCTACTCAGGCTCCGCTCTTCCTCTGCAGGTTAGCATTAGACACACTTTGGCCCTCAAGCCCTTTGAGGGTCCCCCTGAAGTGTCCAGCCCCATGTCCACTGGATGCTCACAGAATTCACAAATCCACTGCTCCCAAAAGAACAGTACCCCCAGCTCACCAGTTACACCTCAGAGCATAGCTCTGCTTGATACACAACTCTTATATGTTTATAGTGAAAACAAGTAAAAATGTATTTAATAAAATGTAGAAGTTTGAGGAGAGCCAATAAAAGTATTGAAAACAAATGGATAAATATAAAATAAAAACATAACACATGATCTAGAATCTAGACTTACTTAATTAGTTTCTATCATATCATATAGAGCAAAAGCTTATCCAAAATCCTTCCAGCATTTGTGACAGGGTCTGCTCACCACTAATAGTCCTCCTCCTGGCCATCCTGGGGATTGGCTCTGCCAGACATTGCACCCTTCTCTGGCAGTGTCTTCACCCATCCTGTCTCGTCCTGTGGCCCCTCTTGCTCCAGGAATCGCAGCCTCCTCTTTGGGACTCAGCCTCCGCCTGGGTCACCATACATATTCCCCTACTGGGGGTGATGTAACAAAGTCTTTCCTGGACAAACCATCCCAGGCAGTCTGCTGGGGGCACCAGCTAAAGGGAAGAACACGTGATCTCCCCATGTGACATCCCCACATGACTCCACCCAGCCCAGGGCTCTCACGCTCTCCCCATCCCTTCCCCACCCCACATTACCGGGGTAGCTCTGTCCTCCCATTGTGCCAGCTCTGAGCATATTAGAGGGGCAGGGCAGGGCTCCGGCTCACTTGGCCGCTGTCCCCAGATGCTGAGCCTGGGTGGGAGGCAGCCTGCTGCTGCCATAGCCAGCCTCTGTCCCAGTCAGCCGCTATGCTGCACTGGGCGGGCAGCATCCCAGGCAGTGGGGCTGGAAGAAGCTCTGTTCCCTCCTCTTCTCTTCTGGCCCCACCCCTCCTCTCCCTCCAGGGCCAGCTGCTGGGGGGGGGGGAGGGAGAGAGAGGGGGCACTTGACCCTTCATGCCCCTCCAACAAGTCATCTCTGCGGCCAGGCCTGTCCTCTACTTTGGATTCCAGCTCAGGGGCCCTCCCATCAGCAGCCAAGGCCTGCACTGTCCCACCTTGCTGCTTACCCCTGGGCCTTCTCCTGCCTTCCTGGCTTCCCTGTTCTCTGGGTTCACCAGCCTCCCTCATCTCCAGGAATAACTGTGAACTAACCTTTAGCCTCTAACACACCTCCCTCCTCCCAGGGAGTGACTGCAGCCCCCTTCTGCTGTCTGCGCCCTGGCTTTAAGGAAGTCTTGCCTGTTTCCGTCCAGCTGAGCCTGGTCCCAATCAATCCTCTACTCCCTGGCTGCTCCTCCAGGTGCAGCCGATGGAGTTAGTTGGACCACCTGGCCATATAACCCCTTCCAGTCTTGTGTGGGGTAGACACCCCATCACAGCATATTACAGCCAGTCTTGGCTGTGATCTTCCTTTCATGAGAAAAGTCATGCTATCCTCTTGCCTCCACAGTGGAAGGATATTATCTCTTTCCTTGCAATACCAGATGTATCACCTCCTGCTGTGTGGTCCTTTCTATAGCTTTCACAATCTGTTATTTATTTTGCAACTTTGATTAGTTGGTGGCTCCATATGCAAATAGACTTCCATTGTGAGACATACAATGCACAATATATACCTGACCAGACAGAGAAAGGTAAGAGACTCCTAATCCCATGCCTGAACAGAATCTGTCCACAGATGGTCACATCCTGGTCACTCGCCTTTAACTTTAAGAACATAATTTTCAGTGTAGGTCTAAGTTCCCTGTAAGCTGCGCAGCAGCCTATTTAGCGCCACACAGGTGCTCAAGGAACCCACCTGGCCAGGACCTGCCAGGGAATGGGCGCCCCAACCTAGCGTGGCCCCCAACCTGCTGTGGCCGGTGGCGGTGCGCCTCAGCCCCAGACCTGCCACAGCCTGGGGAGGGGCGTCTCGAACCCAGGCTCGGTCCGGACCTGCTGTGGCCGGGGGAAGGGCGCCTCTCCCCCCAGCCCAGGTGCTGCTGCGGGGAGAGAGAGCTGAGGGGGAGAGGCGCCCTCTCCGCACCATAGCCCCAGAGCAGCCTTCTGCACCCCAAACCCCTCATCCCCTGAGTGCACACCCAAACCCTCTGCCTCAGCCCTGAGCCCCTCATCCCCAGCCTCACCCCAGAGCCCGCACACCCAGCTGGAGCCCTCACTCCCCCCTGCACGCCAAACCCCTGTCCCAGCCCTGATCCCCTTCCAGCAGTCTGAACCCCTCAGCCCCAGCTGAAGCCCCCTCCTGCACCCCAAATCCCTCATCCCCGGCCCCACTCCAGAGCCTGCACCCCCAGCTGGAGCCCTCACACCCTTGCACCCCAACCCTCTGCCCCAGCCCTGAGCTCCCTCCCACACTCCGAACCCCTCGACCCCACCCCCACCACATGAATTTTGTTATGTGCACCAATATGAAGGTGATGTTTCACACATCACCTTGATATTGATGCACATAACAAAATTCATTCTGCACATGTGTGGGAAAAATTAGAGGGAACACTGGTGTAGATACATAATTTCTTAAATATTATCCATACATACATTTCCATGTAAGCTGCTGCCTCTTGGTAAAGACCTTTTGTTAATTATTATGCATGTACCTGACCAAAGGATCCCTATTAAACCTCGTGCATCCCCTCTGTGTCAGTTGGCATCAAAAGGACCCTGGGTCACAAACTCCTTATTTCAGAGATCACAAAAACAATGAGTAGTCCAGTACTCCATGCATCTGAAGAAGTGGGTTTTTTACCCATGAAAGCTTATGCTCAAATAAATTTGTTAGTCTTTAAGGTGCCACCGGACTCCTCATTGTTTTTGTGGATACAGACTAACACGGCTACTTCAGATATTTGATATCACATAAACCTGCCATTATCTCACTTCCATTGTGCAGTTTCTCAGATATGCTGAACCATGGAACTTATAGAAATGTTGCTTCTCTTAAAGGAAAGACACAATTCCCACATTATTTGAAACCTTTTGTATTATTTTCCTCTATCTTTTATGGTCTCTTTGTGCCACATTTAGAAGCTGACAAAAGAATGGTTATTCAGACCTTTATTTGATTTTTAGTTGTTTCTTTCAATTGGAGGAAGGGAAAAAGAAGACTTCAAACTCTGTGACAGATTTTATATCTGAAATGTTAATTTTCATTTTTGGTAGCATTTAGCTTGCCTTCGTTTCCATTCTTCCTGCCTCTCCATCTCTCTAATTGGTGGATTTTTAATTCCTCTGTTAATTCTTTAAATCTCTGGTGTAGTGTTTCTCTGTTTCATTAAGAATGTATTGATTTTCCTTTTAATTTTTGTGTGTGCAATATACTCAGTAACATTTATGTTTTTATTTTTAAGCTTGAAAAGAGAATCGACTAATCGAGAGAAACCATGCAGAGCACTTCCAATTATCTATGGCTTTTATCTGACGTTCTAGGACAAGGCGCCACTGCAAATGTTTTTCGTGGACGACATAAGGTTTGTGTGGAGTAAACAAATTGGTTACCATATAGTAAATATTTTTTTCAAGAACAGGGATCCTTGTATTAATTCTTAAATAGTCTTCTTGTCTTGTTTCCTTTGTTAATGCATGGAAGTTGTTTTTCTTTCATTAATTAAAAGAAAAACTAGCTATTCGGTGAATACTGCCTATATACTAAATCCACAGGCTGGATTCAGTAAGAAAACAATCATTAAATCTGGCACCTGTAATGTGAAAGCCCTTGAAATCTGTTCATCTTTATGGAAAAGTTTTGATTTTTTTTTAATTGGGTATGTTTGTGTAAGAAAACAACACAACTTTTATGATATTTTATCTTAATGTCCCTAATAATCAGGAAAAAATGTGTAAGATACATGTTTTTAAACATCTTTATCGTTATTAATAACACAACTCGTATTAATACTGAAATCATTTGTAAAATGTACCATTCTTTTCACTGTGCTTGCTCGATGCCTTTTGCATTTTATCCAGTTTGGACAGTGAAATTAAGCAGTCATTTTCTGGTTCTTATGCACAAGTACACAATGCTGTTTCTGGTTCTTGTGCATAAGTACAGTGCTGTTGAGTTTCCAACAATGCAGGGAAATGTTTAAATAAACAAGTAGAAAAGACTCTTTTGGGGCCTAAATTACTAAACGTATATGTCCCTTTTAAATTGGAAATAAATATATATCTGTGTCTTTTTAAAGAAACTGTTATTTCTGAACTCCTTTGGGGGGGGGTGGTAATCTTCATTCCAGACAAATATTCTATTTGGACTCTCTTTACCTAAATTTATTTTCTAATATCTGAATTTATTATTATTTAATATTAGTCAGGTTCAGGTAACTGTTGTGCCAAGTGCTATACAAATACAAAGTAAGACATGATCCCTGCCTCACTATGTTTTTGTTTCCAGAGGTAGATTGGTTTTTAACATTATCCAGAGTGCTTAATTATGTCTTAATTTCTTTAATTGTCATACTAACGTATATAAAAACTGTGAGAAAAATAACCCAACTGCTAATACCTTCTCTTGACTATAAATTATTAACAATCGTTTTATAATTTTAAAGGAAAACTGAAAGGATTTTTATCTACCAAGGTGTTTTTTGGGGGGCTTTTGTTTTCCCCTGAAATAGCTCAGGATATCACAAACTGTAAAAGCATATGGAGCTGCACTGCTGTTTGAGATGTAATGGCTATCCAGTGGTGTAGGAAAAAATGCTAAATCCCAGGATTCAGGTCAGCAGATAAATAAAGCCCCAATCCTGTAAACACTTTTACATGATTAGCCCCACTGAATCCGTGTGAATAACTTTTCCCAAGATTGGGGCATAAAGCAGGAACTAATTTTTAAGTGTGTTGTTCTGAACTGTATTAATTGTAGTTTTTAAACCTCTACATACTTGGCTACGGGTTTGGGGCCTTACACAAATTTTCTAGAAGATTTTCAATTAGTCTTTGTACAGATACTAAAATCTAAAGTTACTCCTCAGATTTCTCCATCTTCCAGCTTTGTGAAAAATTATCCCCTAATTGGTGTTTATTACCTGAATGTAGATGGGAGTTGAGGCTGTTCTTTGTCATGAGATTATGTATTTTGTCTCTCTCTCTCAAATTGTCTTGAGTTTGCAGTTCTTTGTGTGTCCTGGCATTGTCTGTTAACAACCCTCAAGTGTTTGTAAAGAAGTAGCTTATCTTGAGCCATTTTTCCTTCCTGCTTGTTTTTCCTTACAGCCCCCTATTAAACTAAACCAATATATTCATATAGTAAACATTCCAATAACCAGATGAACATACAATATTAATAAATTATTGCAGAAAAGCTGCAATTATATCATACTTGTATATAAGTTTGAAAAGTGTTCTTGGGATCCTTCAGGATGACTGATACTATATACATGTTAATTATTAAGGCTTTTTTGTACTTGACTTTGATTTTTTTTAAATAATCTGAATATTTTTCTGATAGAAAACTGGGGATTTATATGCCGTCAAAGTATTTAACAACATAAGCTTCCTTCGTCCTGTGGATGTTCAGATGAGAGAACTTGAAGTATTAAAGAAACTGAATCACAAGAACATTGTCAAATTGTTTGCTATTGAAGAAGAGGTAATTAGCTGATGTGGTTTGTAGTAATGTCATCCATGATCCCTGCATATGTATTTCATGTAAACTCAGCTGTATGGGATAAGGTTGTATTTTTATTAAGAAGTATATAGGAGCCTTTTCCTACTGGCTTCTCTCCTTTTGCTGAGAATCTCACCTGACCTGGAGCCACAGATTGAAAGATAGCAGAGGCTGAGTGGTGATACTGCTACTGAAATACATAACTGACTCCTAACAGCCTAGCACATCAGTACACTTGCCTTGCTGTCTTTAGCATACAATCAGGTTCAGTGCAACAGGCACTGAATCTGATCCACTGCATCCACATGTGCATATTATGCAAATACTGTCCTAATTTATAAAATCTTAAATTGAAATTAAGATAATAGATTTTAATTACACTACTGTACATTTTATATTAATATGGAATGCATGCTACTGTCTGATTTGCTCTTGCTTGATAATTTTGCAGCTTATTCACAAACTCTCACTTTTTAAAAATATAAATAAGATTTCAGGTGTTCCACAAGATTGTCAGAAGATAGGCATCTTGCTGTATAAAGTTCACATAATGATAGAGCAGATGTAGAATTGCATCCAGGGATGATTTAAAGTAGCACTTCTCAAAGTGAGGCTGGCTAGGGGTTCACAGGAAAATTGCTAAAATGCAGAGGTCGGTAAAGACTTTGGGGAGGGGGAGTAATCGAAGGAGAGAAGTAAAAGTGCTGCTTCAGGCTCTTCTTCCAATGTAGTTCCTCATTTTTCATTTGCCTATACTACCTACTACTCTGAGAGGGCCATTTTAAAGGTGAAGAAGGGCTAGCACCCATAATCTTGTGGCCTCCCTAGTTTCTTCCACACTCAAGATAAATTTTAAAATGGAACCAGTTTTTCTTTTTTCTTTTCTTTTTTTTAAAAGCCATCAGAGTGAGACTTGTATATAAAATAGCATCAGGTTACAAAGCTTTGAAAATAGGAGACTATGACTTGATGTAATCTCTGGCATTATTAACAGTCTTCATATCATTGCCAAATCTTAATATTTTTTATTTTTCAGACAACCACTAGACACAAAGTACTTGTTATGGAATTTTGTCCATGTGGGAGCTTATACACTGTTTTAGAAGAGCCATCTAATGCCTATGGGTTGCCAGAGTCTGAGTTCTTAATTGTGCTGAGAGACGTGGGTATGTGGGATTTAATTTTTTTAACTCTGTCTAATTTGTCCTGTTGCTCAGCTGTTGTTTGGTTTAGTTTGGAATTGGAGTGTTAAAATTCTTAGTTTGACAATATAGATGAAATCATATGGATTATAGTACACCTCTACCCCGATATAATGCGACCCGATATAACACGAATTCGGATATAACATGGTAAAGCAGCGCTCTTGGGGGGGGCGGGGCTGCGCATTCTGGCGGATCAAAGCAAGTTCGATATAACGCGGTTTCACCTATAATGCGGTAAGATTTTTTGGCTCCCGAGGACAGTGTTATATCGGGGTAGAGGTGTATTATTTTTAATCTATATCAACAAATGTAGTTGCATTATAAAACTATTTATGATTTTTTTCTAAAAATTAGATTTTTTTAAACGCAAAGATTTTTTTTGTCACACACTGGACTGCCTTCTTGACAGATCATCACAGAATAGATTGTGGGGAGTAATCAAGTCCACCAGTATCTGCCCCCTATCGCTGCAGGAAATCTGGCAATTAAAATACGTCCACTTTATCTGCTCAGTGTTCCAAAGGATGATGGCAAAACCCATCGTCATCTCTTGTTTCCTATATTATAGACAGTCCTCTGGGAAGAGAATAAGATCACTAAGGATTATAAACTCTTACCTAAAATAATGGATGAAAATAGGTTTCAGGAAAGGCATTTTTGAGAGCAAGACATACCATTATTTGCTGTTTGCAGAAGAAAAGGCAAAGATGATTAGAATAGAGACAATAGGATATTCTAATCCTAGTAGCAGCAGTGGTCCTTGCCCTTCTCCTTTGCACACACTGAAAAACAGTAGTCTATGAAAGTATATATGCTTTTTTGGTATTTTAACATGTGTCCTGTCCGTGTTGATACGTATGTACTAAATGCTGTACAACTCTGTATTTAAGTGGCTGGGATGAATCATCTCAGAGAAAACGGAATAGTGCACCGTGACATCAAACCAGGGAATATAATGCGTGTTATAGGTGAAGATGGTCAGTCTGTTTACAAACTGACAGATTTTGGAGCTGCTAGAGAGTTGGAAGATGACGAACAGTTTGTTTCTCTCTATGGCACAGAAGAATATTTGGTAAGCCATTTAATTTATGACTGATGGACTTGTTGAAGCATGGGATATTTCTTAGGCTAGGTCTACACTAGGGGGAAGGGTTGACCTAAGATATGCAACTTCAGCTACGCGAATAGCGTAGCTGAAATCGGCGTATCCAAGGTCGATTTACCTGGCCGTGAGGACGGCGGTGAGTCGACCGCTGCCGCTCCCCCGTCAACTCCGCTTCCACCTCTCGTCGCAGTGGACTTCCAGAGTTGACGGCAGAGCGATTGGGGATCGATTTTATCGCGTCTACAGACGCAACAAATCGATCCCTGATAGATTGATCACTACCCACCGATCCGGCGGGTAGTGTAGACGTGCCCTTAGTGAAAACTGAATAGCTGAGAGACATAAACCCAGTTTGGAACTCATTTACCAATGGCACATCTAGTCCGGTAGTTACTGTTATAACATCAATCCTACCTTTTGCATCTTTTGTCATGCCAGGCCTCTGCTGATCTGGGGAACAAGTGCGTTGAAGTCATTTCCTGACCCAGATTCTCCATGTTTCATTGCGTGATATAAAGAATTGCAGCATAGATTTATTAGAGCTTCCTTGCCTCTCCCTCTCTGGATATTTTTAAGTGTTCTTGTGAACTGTTTGGATGATGCTGGGATATTGCTCAGATCCACTTTCCTGATATTTGTATTGACCAGGCAGTGTGCAAGGGCACTGTAACTTGGAATTTCCAGTGTAGTGTTTTAAAGTCAGAGTATTTTAATTCCACAAAGAGACAGGTAAGGGAGCCAGTATAGTTAAAATACTTACATTGAATTTGAAAGTAAGTATATTTTTGTGGCAAAACAGAAAACAGTTGTCCCCTCTGCTTCTGTTTACATGCCCCTCACATGCCAGTGTGCTAATACATGTTCTCAATGCTTTTTTTCTGTGTTCTTCTTAATGCATTTTCTGAAATAGTAGTTTTTGTAGTGTTTCTTTTCCTCTCCTTTTGTGTGGCTTTTCTCTCCTAATCTGTAATTTCATCTGAATTTTCTTGGCTAAATTCTCTTTACTAGATTTTGAACTTTATTGTAACAAGGGTGGCTATAAACGGCTACTGGCTCTGGCTGAACAATTTTGCAGTATGTTCTTGAAGTGCCTGTAGTTTGAAAAGCTTATGCAAATTCTACAGCAGATGCTAACTTCCCGTTTTGATGAAAGAAATGCTTAGAAAGCTGGTGTGTCCTGCTGTGGTTGCTTGCTTGAGTTTTGGTGCTTTATAATTGTTTACAAAGCAAGTTGTTCTAAGTTTCCCCTTTTTTCCCCCTTAAGCATCCTGATATGTATGAGCGAGCAGTGTTGAGGAAGGAGCATCAGAAGAAGTATGGAGCAACAGTTGATCTGTGGAGCATAGGAGTGACATTTTACCATGCAGCAACAGGGAGTTTACCATTCCGACCTTTTGAAGGGCCTCGCAGGAACAAGGAAGTGATGTGGGTAATTTAGAGGGAGAGTTCTGTCTGTTTATAAATGAATTCAACCAATAAATATATCTATATCAAGTGTTCTGTGCACACGCACACAGCAAACAGTGTAAAAATAATGCAAACGGTGGGCAGATTTCATATTTAGCAAGGCTAGTGCCATGGGAAGATTTCATATTTAACAAGACTAGTACCTCGTGCAGCACATTAGACCTAATCATGCAGCAGAGCCTCCAGAAAATTGTGACACTACCTTTTGATGCCTCTTGCCTTCTTTGCTGCACTCGTGGTCCAGTACAATCTGGAAATCTACCTTGTGTAATTTTCTTATGTTACATTCAATTAATTTTGTAGTGTCTAAGATCTTACATTTTCAGTGCTTCAGACTTCTATTTTAACAAGTAGCTGCCATTTAGGTGTTGTCAAATGACAGCCAGAAATTTGGCCAATTGGGTGGAGGACAATTGGGAGTTCTGGCATTGAAGAAAGTATGGGAGCTGTTTTTGGTATCCAGGAGGCAGTAAAGTCTTTTGCTGCTGAGGAGGAAATGCATCTTGTCATTCCCTCTCCCTTTGCAGACAGGGATTTGGGATAAATTGGAGTTAGAGGCTTAATATTTTTAAATGAAAGTTTAGATGAAGCATGAAAGATGATGTCAGTTAGCTGTTTGAATCTTCCTTATCTCTACACCATGCGTGTGTAAAGTAACGTTTTTCCTAGAGCTAAATACAGTTTAATACAGAGTTCTCTCCTTTCACACTTATTCCTAAATTTTCCGTTCAGAGTTAGGAAAAAATTGTGAATGCACAAAAGTGTGCCAAAATCTGTGGCTATTTTAATATTAATGTAATCTCTGCTGAACCCAAACTATATTCCTTTTCTCCCAAATGAACATTTTTGATAATATTATGCTATACATTTCCTGGAACCTTGCAAGTTCAAACCAGTAAATGCCTGTACTATACGGACATAAAAATCTGACTTTAACATTTTTATTTTTTCCAGTGAGTTCCTGGATCCCCTCCTTAATTTTTTTTCAATCCTGAGTCAGCCAAAGGGGCTTCTTCAGTTCAGCATAAGGTGTTTCTTTTCATTAAACATTAAGTGTATTATTTCAGCACCCTCTGCCAGTCTGGAGATGAGCCCTGAACATTGTACTCCTACTGAGCAGCAGATTGGCCTAAATTCTTGTACTAGCTTTAGAATTTTTAATTTACATTACAAGGTCCCATTAGAGGATCCATTTACTAGACTTGTATTTGAAGAGATAGTAATTCAGTATTGCATATTTAGTTTGCATATTTATTTTTGTAATATCTCATAGGTATAAAATAATCACTGGAAAGCCTTCTGGTGCCATATCTGGAGTACAGAAAGCAGAAAATGGACCAATTGAGTGGAGTCGAGATATGCCTATTTCCTGTAGTCTTTCTAAGTAAGCTTATTTGAATTTTTTACCAAATACTTCAGTGCTTACCTGAGTAAAGTTTTTCTCCTTATTTTCTCAGTATAAGATGTTTGGGACTCTGGCTGTCTCTGACTTTTTTTCTTTGAATTTTTACAGCAGCCCTATATTATGTTCTTTTATGGGCTACAAAATGCCTCTCTTTCCATTCCATCCAAGTGCTTCTGTAACTGTTCATTTACCCAAGAGCACTCAAGTGGTGAAAAAAAGTAATATGGCCAAGAACCAGCCTGTGCAGGGAGGGGGAGAATATGCTATTGCACAGGTAGGCATTAGCTCCATTACCAGAAGAGAGGATAATTATTACTGTGGATATACTGTAGTTTGTTTAAACCTTAAGTTTGACCTCCATCCTCCTGCCTGAGTGTCCTAAAGTGTCGAGGAGCTAGAAATTATACACATTAATTTAATTGGAAAAAAGTCAGTAGAAAGAGACTTAAACTCTTCCCCTTCCTCCAGAACAGAGTCATCTTTGTAGACCTGATACCTTCCACTTAAATATCCAGTTCTTGATCCCCATAGAGCCTTATGAAAATGTTCCTCCTTGTTGGTATTCCTGTATGTAACATAGGATTTAACATTACAGAATATTATTTGATCATCGGAACCATACCAGGCTAATTTAGGCACAAAAGGACAATTTCCCCTCATACATGTTGTAGTCAAACATTAAAGGAAAAATGAAGGTGTTTAAATCAGAATAATCCAGTTCTCAATATTTTGGTAACTAATGCCTCATTTCAACAGATGCATAAATTGAAGCATTGGAATGGTTCAGTTGACTTCAATATGATAAATGAGAGAATTAAAATGAGTAAATGAGCCAAAAATACGTAAGTCAATGGAATTGCTCACATTCTTAAAGTTACACACATACCTAAATACCTTGCTGAATCAAGGCCTAATTACTAGGGCTGTCAAGCGATTAAAAAAATTAATCATGATTAATCATTTGATTAATCGCATTGTTATTAATAGAATCCCATTTATTTCAATATTTTTGGATGTTTTCTACATTTTCAAATATATTGATTTCAATTACAACACAGAATATAAAGTGTACAGGACTAACTTTATATTTATTTTTTATTACAAGTATTTGCACTGTAAAAAACAAAAGAAACAGTATTTTTCAATTCACCTAATACAAGTACTATAGTGCAATCTCTTTATCATGAAAGTTGAACTTACAAGTTTAGAATTAGGTACAAAAAAAACTGCATTCAAAAATAAAAATTTAAAACTTTTGAGCCTATAGTCCACTCAGTCCTATTGTTCAGCCAATTGCTCAGACAAACAAGTTTGTTTACATTTGCAGGAGATAATGCTGCCAACTTCTTGTTTACAATGTCACCTGAAAATGAGGACAGGCATTCTCATGGCACTGTTGTAGCCAGTGTCACAAGATATTTACGTGCCAGATGTGCTAAAGATTCGTATGTCCCTTCATGCTTCAACCACCATTCTAGGAGACATGCGTCCATGCTGATGAGAGGTTCTGCTTGATAACAATCCAAAGCAGTGCGACTGACGCATGTTCATTTTAATTATCTGAGATGGATGCCACCAGCAGAAGGTTGATTTTCCTTTTTGGTGGTTCGGGTTCTGTAGTTTCCGCATCAGAGTGTTGCTCTTTCAAGACTTCTGAAAGCATGCTCCACGTCTCGTCCCTCTCAGATTTTGAAATCTCACATTGGTACCTTCTTTGTGTTTTGTCAGATCTGCAGTAAAAGTGTTCTTAAAATGAACAACGTGCTGGGTCATCATCCGAGACTGCTATAACATGAAATATATGGCATAATGCGGGTAAAACAGAGCAGGGAACATACAATTCTCCCCCAAGAAGTTCAGTCACAAATTTAATTAACACGTTATTTTTTTAATGAGTGTCATCAGCATGGAAGCATGTCCTCTGGAATGGTGGCCGAAGCATGAAGGGGCATACGAATGTTTAGCATATCTGGCACATAAATACCTTGCAACGCTGGCTACAAAAGTGCAGGTGACATTGTAAATAAGAAGAGGGCAGCATTATCTCCTGTAAATATAAACAAACTTGTTTGTCTTAGTGATTGGCTGAACAAGAAGTAGGACTACATGGATTTGTAGGCTCTGAAGTTTTACATTGTTTTGTTTTTGAGTGCAGTTATGTAACAAAAAAAAAATCTACATTTGTAAGTTGCACTTTCACAACAGAGATTGCCCTACAGTACTTGTATGAGGTGAACTGAAAAATATTATTTCTTTTGTTTATCATTTTTACAGTGCAAATATTTGTAATAAAAATAATATACACTTGGATTTCAATTACAACACAGAATACAATATATATGAAAATGTACAAAAACATCCAAAATATTTAATAAATTTCAATAGGTATTCTATTGTTTAACAGTGCAATTAAAACTGCGATGAATCGCGATTAATTTTTTTAAGCGTGATTAATTTTTTTTAATCGCGTGAGTTAATTGCGATTAATTGACAATCCTACTAATTACCTTTTCAAAATTAGTCTCCCTTTTTATAAGGGAGAGAGAAGTTGTTCTAGAGCTTCATTGTAGGAAAAGTGGCTCTGTCTTAAATGGAGCTGAAATGGAATGGAGTTTGTAGACCTAATTTATATATTCACTTTACTTATTAAAATTAATTCCTAACTGAGAAATATTGGAATGAAATAAGAATTTCAGAGAATTATCATGTAAATTGCATGAACATTTTCTTTGCCTCACATTGTGTAGTAACCTTTCCAGTTGTATTATTGTCCCTAAACAAATAATATTTTCCATCGTGGCAGTTTTGATAAGAGTATAAATAGAAGTACACCTCTACCTCGATATAATGCTGTCTTACCGCGTTATATAGAACTTGCTTTGATCCACCGGAGTGCGCAGCCCCGCCCCCCCGGAGCACTGCTTTACCGCGTTATATCTGAATTCGTGTTATATCGAGTCACATTATATCAGGGTAGAGGTGTAGAAAAATACTAAAGTGTGAACCAGGAACTAGCTGTAATATAAAGAAACTGTGAGTCAATTAAAGGGACACTATCAACTTGAAGTCTAATCAGTTTAAAAAATATATTAAAAGTCGTTTCAGGTATTATGCCTGTGTCCTTCTGCCAATTTTTGAGGGTTTTGCATTAATATTTTCCTATTTTTAAAAAGAAAATGACTATATGCAGTGTTTTCCAATCAGTAAAGTAAACAAATGGGGAGAAAAGAGTGTTTTCCATGTATACTTTAAATTATAGTGCTATTACTTGTTACAGTAGAAGTTAAAAACAATTATAAAGTAAAAGTATGGTTTTTAAGTTGAAGGTGTCCCTCTCACATTCAGATGCAGTTTGAGACTACAGATTTCAAAGAGCTCCATATAACACTAACACAACCTGATTTTAGCTTTTGAGTGAAGTCTCTGCCTCACAGTTAGTCATTTCATAGTTGGGGGCAATAATTTTTCCCATAAACTCTTGTGAAGAAAATAGAGCTGTCTCCATTAGAACAGGTTGGGAAAGCTGTACATTATTTTTGAAAGTGCTGCAGAGAGACCATGTTTAGCCATCTATTAGAAAACTATTCAGTTATAGGTTTGTGGGGTGGGATTTTCAAAGTGATTTAAGAGCACAATTTCTGTTGACTTTAAATGGGATCTGTGCTACTAAGTCACTTAGGCTCTCTTGAAAATTGCAGGTTTGATTTGTGTACACATACCAGCATGTTAATAATATTAATCTCTGCATTAGCCTGTAATGAAGAACAGGTACAAATGCAAGATACACCTCTATCCCGATATAACTTGACCCGATATAACGCGGGTTCGCATACAACGTGGTAAAGCTCTGACACGCTGCTCTGAGCAGCATGTTAAGGGTGCCGGCTGGGCCGGGGCCGAGGGGTTGGATAAGGGGCAGAGGGTCTCGGGGGCGGTCAGGGGCTTCCCCCCCCCAGGGCCTGGGAGGCAGGAGCTGTGGGGGGGCACTTTTGGGGGTCCCGCAGTCCCAGAGTGGCCTGGGGGATTAGCCGGGGGCCGGGAGCCGCCCGCTCCGCTTCCCTCGCCCCAGCCCCAGCCGTGTCGCTCAGGGGAGGGGGCTTGGGGGAAGGGATCCCCCCCGCACTCACTGGCAGTGGCAGAAGCAGAGCAGCCCAGCCCCAGGCCGCTCCACTCCGCCACCTCCCAGCCGCAGCGCTCCGCTTCCCGCTGCAGGTGAGTGCGGGACCTTTCCACGACCCCAAACGACACAGCTGGGGCTGGGGCAAGGAAAGTGGAGCGGGCTGGGGCTGCGGCGCTCCGCTTCCCACCGCCGGTGAGTTCGGAGGGTGTCCTTTCCCCAACCTCCCCGCACTCACCGGCGGCAGGAAGCGGAGCACCGCAGCTGGAAGGTGGCGGAGTGGAGCGGGCTGGGACCGTGTTGCTCTGCTTCCCGCTGCTGCCGGTGAGTGCCTGTCAGGGGTAGGGGATGTGGATAGGGGTCGGAGCAGTAAGGGGACAGGGAGCAGGGGGGTTGGGTAGGGAGTGGGATCCTGGGGGTGATTAGGGACGAGGGTCTCTGGAGGGGGGCGGTCAGGGAACAAGGAACGGGGGGGGGGGGGCAAAGCAAGTTCAATATAATGCGGTCTCACCTATAACACGGTGAGATTTTTTGTCTCCCGAGGACCGCGTTATATCGGGGTAGAGGTGTACTTAAGATGGCTGCTGCCCCACTTTAAAGTAATCACTTGAAATTTCCATAGAATCATAGAGTTGTGGGACTGGAAGAGACCTCGAGAGGTCTTCTAGTCTAGTCCCCTGCACTCACTGCAGGGCTATGTATTATCTAGACCGTCCCTGAGACGTGTATGCCTAACCTGCTCTTAAACATCTCCAATGAGGGAGATTCTACCACCTCCCTAGGCAATTTATTTCAGTGTTTAACCACTCTGACAGTTAGGAAGTTTTTCCTAATGTCCAACCTAAACCGCCCTTGCTGCAATTTAAGCCCATTGCTTCTTGGCCGATCCTCAGAGGTTAAGAACAACAATTTTTCTCCCTCCTCCTTGTAACAACTTTTTATGTACTTGAAAACTGTTATCATGTTTCTCAGTCTTCTCTTCTCCAGACTAAGCAAACCTATTTTTTTTTTAATCTTCCCTCATAGGTCGTGTTTTCTAGACCTTTAATCATTTTTGTTGCTCTTCTCTGGACTTTCTCCAGTTTGTCCATATCTTTCCTGAAATGTGGCACCCAGAACTGGACACAATACTCCAGTTGAGGCCTAATCAGCGCGGAGTAGAGCGGAAGAATCACTTTTCGTGTCTTGCTTACAATACTCCTGCTAATACATCCCAGAATGATGTTTGCTTTTTTTGCAAAAGCGTTACACTGTTGACTCATATTTAGCTTGTGATCCACTAATACCCCCAGATCCCTGTCCACAGTACTCCTTCCTAGACAGTCCTTTCCCAGTTTGGTATGTGTGTAACTGATAGTTCCTTCCTAAGTGGAGTACTTTGCATTTGTCCTTATTAAATATAATCCTATTTACTTCAGACCATTTCTCCAGTTTGTCCAGATCATTTTGAATTTTAATCCTATCCTCCAAAGCACTTGCAACCCCTCCCAGCTTGGTATCGTCCGCAAACTTTATAAGTGTACTCTCTTTGCCATTATCTAAATCATTGATGAAGATATTGAACAGAACTGCACCCAGAACCAATCCCTGCAGGACCCCACTCATTATGCCCTTCCAGCATGACTGTGAACCACTGATAACTACTCTCTGGGAACGATTTTCCAACCGGTTATGCACCTACCTTATACTAGCTCCATCTAGGTTGGATTTCCCCATTTTGTTTATGAGAAGGTCATGCGAGACAGTATCAAAAGCCTTACTAAAGTCAAGATATACCACATCTACCGCTTTCCTCCTATCCACAAGGCTTGTTACCCTGTCAGAGAAAGCTGTCAGGTTGGTTTGACACGATTTGTTCTTGACAAATCCATGCTGACTGTTATTTATCACCTTATTATCTTCTAGGTGTTTGCAAATTGATTGATTAATTATTTGCTCCATTATCTTTCCGGGTACAGAAGTTAAGCTGACTGGTCTGTAATTCCCCGGGTTGTCCTTATTCCCCTTTTTATGGATTGAGCACTATATTTGCCCTTTTCCAGTCTTCTGGAATGTCTCCTGTCTTCCATGACTTTTCAAAGGTAATTGCTAATGGCTCAGATATCTCCTCAGTCAGCTCCTTGAGTATTCTAGGATGCATTTCATCAGGCCCTGGTGATTTGAAGACATCTAACTTGTCTAAGTAATTTTTGACTGGTTCTTTCCCTATTTTAGACTTTGATACTACCTACCTCATTTTCACTGGCATTCACTATGTTAGACATCCAATCGCCACCAACCTTCTTGGTGAAAACCGAAACAAAGAAGTCATTAAACACCTCTGCCATTTCCACATTTTCTGTTGTTGTCTTTCCCCCCTCATTGAGTAATGGGCCTACTCTGTCATTGGTCTTCCTCTTGCTTCTAATGTATTTGTAGAATGTTTTCTTGTTTCCTTTTATGTCCCTAGCTAGTTTGATCTCGTTTTGTGCTTTGGCTTTTCTAATTTTGTCCCTACATACTTGTGTAATTTGTTTATATTCATCCTTTGTAATTTGACCGAGTTTCCACTTTTTGTAGCCCACGAAAGCTTATGCTCAAATAAATTTGTTAGTCTCTAAGGTGCCACAAGTACTTCTGTTCTTTTTGTTGATACAGACTAACACGGCTGCTACTCTGAAACCTGTCACTTTTTGTAGGACTCTTTTTTGAGTTTTAGATCATTGAAAATCTCCTGGTTAAGCCAGGGTGGTCTTTTGCCATACTTCCTATCTTTCCTATGCAATGGGATACTTTGCTCTTTGGCCTTAATAATGTCTCTCTGAAAAACTGCCAACTGTCTTCAATTGTTTTTTCCCTTAGACTTGCTTCCCATGGAATTTTACCTACCAACTCCCTGAGTTTGCTAAAGTCTGCCTTCTTGAAATCCATTGTCTTTATTGTGCTGTTCTCCCTCCTACCATTCCATAGAATCACGAACTCTACCATTTCATGATCACTTTCACCCAAGTTACCTTCCACTTTCAAATTCTCAACCAGTTCTTCCCTATTTGTCAAAATCAAATCTAGAACAGCCTCCCCTCAGTAGCTTTCTCCACCTTCCAAAATAAAAAATTATCTTCAATACATTCCAAGAACTTGTTGGATAATCTGTGCCCTGCTGTGTTATTTTTCCAACAGATGTCTGGGTAGTTGAAGTCTCCCATCACCACCAAGTCCTGTGCTTTGGATGATTTTGTTAGTTGTTTAAAAAAAACCTCATCCACCTCTTCTTCCTGGTTTCGTGGTCTGTAGTAGACTCCTATCACCCTTGTTTTTTTACTCTTTTTATCCTTACCCAGACCAACCTAAACTACCCTTGCTGCAATTTAAGCCCATTTTTTCTTGTCCTATCCTCAGAGGTTAAGGAGAATATTTTTTCTCCCTCCTCCTTGTAACAACCTTTTATGTATTTGAAAACTGTTATCATGTCCCCCTTCTGTCTTCTCTTCTCCAGACTAAACAAACCCATTTTTTTCAATCGTCCCTCATAGGGTAATGTTTTCTAGACCTTTAATCATTTTTGTTGCTCTTCACTGGACTTTCTCCAATTTAGAATCATAGAAAATTAGAGCTGGAAGAGACCTCAGGAGGTCATCTAGTCCAATCCCCTGCTCAAAGTAAGAGCAACCCCAACTAAATCGTATCACAGTTTGTCCACATCTTTCCTGAAATGTGGCCTCCACAACTGGACACAATACTCCAGTTGAAGCCTAATCAGCACGAAGTAGAGCAAAAGAATTACTACTTGTGTCTTGCTTACAACACTCCTGCTAATACGTCCCAAAATAATGTTTGCTTTTTTTGCAATAGTGCTACACTGCTGACTCATTTAGATTGTAATCCACTCTGACCCCCAGATCCCTTTCGGCAGTACTCCTTCCGAGGCAGTCATTTGCATTTTGTATGTGTGTAACTGATTGTTCCTTCCTAAGTGGAGTACTTTGCATTTGTCCTTATTGAATTTCATCCTGTTTACTTAAGACCATTTCTTTGAGTGCTTCTTGCCCCTATCCCTGCCTTCATGATGAAATTAGGATTCAATATTTGCCAAATTACAAAGGTAAAATATTTGGTACTCAAATTTCGAAAAAGTGATTATGGTATGTACTGTCCCTATTCAGGAAAAACACTGGGCAATGTTGTTGAACAGAAACTGTCAAACAGTAAAGGAATGGAAGTTTGTAGAATTTCTCAAAGCACAAAAATGTCCTACTTGTGATCTGTCCAATAGGGAGATCTTATATAATGTCAGAATGAGAAACATTCCAACTTGTGGTGTCTCTTTTTTGTGTATCCACAGGGGCCTGCAAGTACTGCTCACGCCTGTTCTTGCAAACATTCTTGAAGCAGATCAGGAAAAATGCTGGGGATTTGACCAGTTTTTTGCAGAGACCAATGACATGCTCCACCGAAGAATAATTCATGTCTTTTCACTACAGCAAATGACCTTACACAAAGTTTATATTCACAGCTATAATACGTAAGCATTCTTTCCATATTTTCACTACTTCTGTCTTATCCAGGCAAATAATGCTGTGACTTCAGATCACATCAGTATGACAGATTCAGTAGCCATTCCTTGACAGTTATCTGGTTGGGGGCAAGATAAATGTATGATGATGTGGTGTGCTGCAAGCTTGTACGGCCCTCCTATGTCAAGCACTGTGTGTGTGTGTGTGTGTGTGTGTGTGTGTGTGTGTGTGTGTGTGTAGGTGTACGTTATCTTTTTGTTCTGGCCTCTTATTGGTTTGTCCCTTTCTTTTTCTCTGTGATTCACCCTTTGGCAACAGAGCCCAAGTACTATGTTCTCAAAGAAATTGTGACAGGGCAAGGTCCCGCTCCTGTCTTCTGCTGTGTCTACACAGACTACTTGGAGACTTTCAATTGTTATTCACCACCATGTAGTTTATTTACATTGCTTTCCCCACCACCTTTAGAGATCTATACACCACATTTACAGCATCATATTACACATACATCACCCCTCTACTCAGTACTGGGTTTACCATGGCGCCAGGCCCAGGCTCCAAAGGGGCCCCGGCCCAACCCACTGTGCTTGGGCTGCAGTAAGGCCCCGCCAGCTCTTCTCCGCCCACCGCTCTCTCCTGCGGGGGCAGAAGGTTGGTCCTGCTGGCTCCTGGGGCTTCTGCTGCAGGGTAGGCTCCGGCCGCACCCACCAGCACCCAAGCTCCCCCCTCCCCCACCTCTTCCCGTGAGCGTGCCGCGTTCCCACCTCTCCCCCTTCCCCTCCCAGCGCTTCCCCTGCCACCGAACAGCTGTTTGCTGGCGCTCTGGAAGGGAGGGGGAGGAGCGGAGCTGCAGCGTGCTCGGGGGAGGAGGTGAAGAAGAGGTAGGGGCGGGGCCTTGGGGAAGGGGGTGGAATTGGGGCAGGGTGGAGCAAAGGCGGGGCCCCTGCACTCCCCTACACATACACCCCCCCAACCCCCTGCCGTGAGCCGCTCAGGACATGGGGCTGGGAGCACCCCCACGACCCCAGCCCACACCTCCACACACCGTGCCCTGACTCCTGCACCCCCCACACTCCATGCCCTGTGTAATGATGCGGTTCTGGCGGGACCCAACTGAGAGTGCCAATTCAGGACAAATCTCTTAAAACAGGGCAGTTACAGCCCTAGGCTGGGGTTTTTCCACCTCTAAGGCAAACCAAACCAGCCAGACAAAGAGGACTTTGGTCTCACCCCACTGGCTAACCACAAGTCACACAAGCAATTCCCTTAGACACTCCAGTTTCCCAGTATCACCACCAGTGCCACTCGCTATGGGGACAAATGGTTATGAAAACCAATACCCCATTAAAAGAAAAAAGGTTCTCCTGATCCCAAAGGATCAAGCCCCAGACCCAGGTCAATATACAAATCAGATCTTACCCACAAATCACGCTGTTGCCAATCCTTTAGAATCTAAAATCTAAAGGTTTATTCATAAAAGGAAAAAAGATATAGATGAGAGCTAGAATTGGTTAAATGGAATCAATTACATACAGTAATGGCAAAGTTCTTGGTTCAGGCTTGTAGCAGTGATGAAATAAACTGCAGGTTCAAAATCAAGTCTCTGGAGTACATCCCCAGCTGGGATGGGTCCTCAGTCCTTTGTTCAGAGCTTCAGTTTGTAGCAAAGTCCCTCCAGAGGTAAGAAACAGGATTGAAGACAAGATGGAGGAGAGGCATCAGCCTTTTATAGTCTTTTCCAGATGTAAGAACACCTCTTTGTCCTTACTGTGGAAAATTACAGCAAAATGGAGTTTGGAGTCACATGGGCCAGTCCCTGCATACTTTGCTGACTTGCAAGGGGTATTTGCCTTCTCTCAATGGGTCAATTGTATAGCTGATGGTCCTTAATGGGCCATCAAGCAGGCTAGGCAGAGCTCACACCAACTTGTCTGGGATGTCTCCCAGGAGCATAGCATAAGTTTGAAATACAGACCGTATAGAGCCAATATTCATAACTTCAACTACAAAATTGATACACACATATAGACAGCATAATCATAACCAGCAAACCATAACCTTGTCTTAGACACTTCATTTGACCCCCTTTATACAAGATTTGGTGCCACTACAGGACTTTGGTTGCAACCATGTTCTGTATGGTCCTAGATTATATCAATAACGTCACACCCTGACTCCTGCACTCCCCCATATCCCCACCCCCACCCTGAGCACCAAACAGGAGCTCCTGCACCCCCCCCCCCACATTCCCACCTGCATCCCTTACACCAAACAGGAGCTGCCCCAGGTAAGCGCTCCACGCCCCAACCTCCTGCCCCAACCCTGAGCCCCCTCCCTTACCCTAACTCCTGGCCAGACCCTGCACCCCAACCCCCAGCCTGCTCCTGCACCCTAACTCCCTCCCAGACCCTGCACCCCCAGCCCTGAGCCCCCTCCCGCATCCTAAGTCCTAGCCAGACCCCACACCCCAACGTTTTTTACATTTTTTTAATAAAGTGCTCTTATCCAAAGTGCTTTACAATAGTTAGCTAACAGTACAAACAGTATTTGGAAAGATCATTAAGTGGTCCGCCAAGATCCCCAGCATTTAAGGTGCTGAGTTTGATATATAAAAGCCCTAAATGTTCTGTGACTTTACTTCTTGAGACACTGCCTCTCTCCATGTGCCATACTGCCACACTTGTGATCAGTAGAGATGACTCCCTGTCAATTTAAGAGAGGGGCTGAAAGTAGAGTGTTCTCTGTGAGAGGATCCAAGCTCTGGGTTAGGCTTCCCTCACTGGGTCCAAAGTCACCCTATTCTGTTGCCCTTCAAAACATATCTATTTATGCAGGCTGTTGCAGAGATGGGCCTTTGAGAGAAATCCGATGTGTGGAGGGGAGTTTGGTGTTCTGCAGGCAATTTAATTTTATTTTTGTAATTTATGCAGGACTTCCCAGTGCCTTAGCTAGGCTGCGCACTGTTTATTATTTGTATAAATCTAATAATTTATATAGGAACAAAACCAATATAAAAGGTATATTTAAAAAAAATTATGAATTGTTTGCATCCTGTTGCATTTTGGTGAATTTGATCTGGTTGTTTCCTAAGTGTAATGTTTTTCTTACAGAGCTGCCATATTTCATGAATTGGTCTACAAACAGACAAAAATAACTTCTCAGAACCAAGAACTGATATATGAAGGCCGCCGTTTAGTACTAGAGCCTGGAAGACTGGCACAACATTTTCCCAAAACCACTGAAGAAAATCCTATAATTATAGTAAGCAGAGAGGCTGTGAACATCGTAGGATTAATCTATGAAGAAAGTATGTTAAAGTCTTTTCTGCCTGTTCTTAAATAAACAAGATTAGGCTGCTTATAAATGTTCTTTGAAAATAGGTTTGATTACTGAATATTTCTGGCCTCTGATAAATATATTAAAAACTTGGATCAAGAGTTTGTCCATATTTAGGCACCGAAACAGGCCGGATTTTTATAAGTGTGGAGTGTCCATCACTTCCCATTGACATCAAAAGATGCTGTTGGGTGCTCAGTACTCAAAAAAATCAGGCCACTTATTTTGATGCTTAAATATGGATTTAAAATTTAATTTTAGATAATTTTTTTAAAAGTCCTGGTCCCTGAGCATTAATATAGGTAGGATTTAGTAATGTGCATAGAATTCTAAAATCCTTTTGTGAACCACAATATTTAAATAAGTTGAAAGGAATTTTATAAAATAGCACTCTTAGCTAATCTTATTCTAATTTCCAGTAATATCTGGAAATTCAAGTGTTCTTGAACTCTGATTAGTCTTTCTAGTCTGTTAACAGAAGCAGTTCGTATTAAATTTGATGTTTCACTGAACACACAAAAGAAATGTTTGTAAACCAAAATGTATATTGTGTATTCACTAATGTATTACAGATTTATTACATATGAAATATAAAATAAAAGTCCATCTCTTATGTTTCAGTTTCACTTCCTAAAGTACATCAGCGGTATGACTTGGACAGTGATGCCAGTATGGCTAAAGTGAGTATTTATTTAACTAGAACTAGAATTAAATTGCTATCTCAAATAAACTAAAGCTACCTAATGTTGAATTGATATATAATACCAGCCATCTTGTTGGTCTTTTTTAATGGGTTTTGCTTTTATATATATGTGTTTGTGTGTGTGTGTGTGTTTGTGTGAGAGAGAGAGAGAGAGAGGATATCAAATGGCATATAGATATATATATTCACTCTTTCTCTCAATTAGTACCTTAGGTTTAGATTAAACTATCAGTTTTAAGTGGCAAATTATTGTAAAATGCTTTGAAGGCAAAAAGCATTCTATAAGTGCTGTGCATTATTATTCCTCATCTGCATTTTCCTGGTTTGTGATTTTCCTGGGGGAAAGTCAGTGCTGAAGAAATTAAGGACCAAATCCCCAATTCATTGCTCAAGCAAAACTTACATTGAAATCAATGGGAGTTTTTCCTGAGAAAGGGCTGAATTAAGATATATTATACTACAGTGGGTTTCAACCTTTTTTCATTTGTCAATTCCTAAATATTTCAAATGGAGTTGCGGACCCTTTTGAAAATCATAAACCATCTGCGGACCCCCAAAGGTCTTCAGACCACAGGTTGAAAACCACTGTTTATAGTAGGTTTATATGTCTAATGGATTTATACAAGTTGAGTTCATTTACAGTGAAAGAAAATGTTTTCCTAACCCCCCCCCTTCAGAAGAAACATTTGCCATAATATACAATACTGTACAGTGCATAGTTAAAGGTAGATGAATATTTATTTAAAGGGTAAAAAATCAATTAACTGGTGGTCTTTCATGGTCTGTTATCCTAGACAAAATAAAAATATTTGAAAGTCAAGGTTATTGCAGAAAATCATCTAGCCTTATAAAAAAAAAGATTTTTTTTAAAATACCCTACAGGTTAGACAACTTTCTGATAAATAAGTTTTTAATCTGAAAAGTTCTGATTTTTATTTAAAAAATAAGTATTAAAAGCAAAAATTAACTTAATAAATATTTGTGCATAAAATTTCATATTGAGTTATGTGCATAGGAGACCTTCTAAGGTTAGAAGAGGAGCAGATCTGAGACTGTCTTTCCCTGTGATGCTAAGCAGGAGAGAAATAAGAAGTTCCTTTCCCAAACTCTGCAGCAGAGTCTTAGGGAGTCTGCAAAAGAATGAAATCTCTGATGTTTCTTTTCTACAGGGTTTCTGAATCTCCCCTGCCTGACAGAACTCCATAGGAGAAAAGTAGTAGAGAGTCCACTTTCAGGCCTTATTGTGTAGCTGTAGTGTCAATCTACTGTTGACTTCACTGAGTCACTTATATGGTAGCTGCAAAATTTGTGCCCCTGTGAAGAACTCTGTTCATGTGCATCTCCCAAAGTGTGCAAAAGTGATAAGTATTTCTCCCTATAGGCCTCCTAAAGTCTTTCAAAGTACTCATCATAGTCCAAGGCATAAGTAGTAAGCTATGAGTAATAATATCAATAACTTTTATTTTAATTAAAAGTTAAACTAGCTTCTGCTTGAGATTTTGTTTAGACGTACATCTACCTAGAATTCCAAGTGTTAAAACAAAGTTTATAAGCAGAATTGGGTGGATGCCAAAAAATGGGACCGCAGCCTACAATTTTGAAAATGTATTATTTTTAAAAAAATTCTTTACATTCCTATACACTACTGAACACATTTACTTGTAACTTTCCAGAAATTTAAATCTGAACATCAAGAGTATGTGGTATAACTTTGATTATGACAGACTTATTTTCATGCCATGCCTAACAAAGACCATGAAATTTCAGTGTAATGGAAAACTCATCTTTGCTTTAACTATTCCCCCCGTACACACTAATTTATGAGCAAAGTTACCCCATTTTTTTGTTACCATCTTCATGTTCTAATTTCTTCTAATATTAATCAATGTTGCTTTCTTGTGATCCATTGACTTGAAACAAACTACAGTGTTGTGAGCACTGAATTAGTACTGATATTGTTTATTTCTCTGTCAGGCAGTAACAGGTGTTGTATGCTATGCCTGTAGAGTTGCCAATGCTTTGCTGCTTTACCAGGAATTAATGCGAAAAGGAATACGATGGTTAATGTAAGTGATTGATTGATTGAATTTTGCTGGGCATGGTTTCTTTACCAAGACTTGTTCTGGTCGTTCACACATTGCATAATTTTGTGGGCTTCCAATGACTTCTGAAGCTTTCTTCCTTCCCCTCGACCATGAGTATGAGTAGACTTTCACAGTCTCTCAAATGTTTCCTCCTCCCTCATCAGGGGAAACTCTGAAGACCCACTTTCTGAACACTAGATCCTAGGTATCCATGTTATTTAATTTAATCTGCTCCTACAGAAGTTTGGATAATTTTAATTTACGTATAGTGTCGGAACATATGATCTAGCAAGGACAAATAATTAATGAATTTCAAAATTTTAAATAATGATTTTGGTAGTTCATGTTGTTAATAGGATTGTGAAAGATCTCTCTAGCTACTAAACTATTACTGAAGTAATGTCTGCCAGAACATTGGAATAAAATTTTATATGACAATAGTATGTAAAATCTTAGCGATATTACTCTTCATTACCAGCAATGATTACTGTAGGCAAAGATATGTGAAAAGAAGGAAGTGAAAACTTTTTTTTGATAGACTGGTGCTATTCTTTCCAGTGAAATAATCAAGGAAGACTACAATGAAACAGTGCACAAAAAGACAGAGGTTATCATCAAGCTGGATTTCTGCAACAGGAACATTGAGATAGCTGGGAAAATGTGAGTAGAAACACTGTCTTGTTCTTTGGAAGTAAATACATTGCACTGCCAGTGGAAACTGGCTGACTTCGTAGTTTTTTCTTCTTAGTGACAGCTGTATTTAAAGATAACTTTATTTACCATGTGTCTGCACACAAAAAAGGTTATTACTTTTTAATTACAATTGTTTCACCAATGGCAGTAGCCTAGCACCAAGTGAGGTCAGGAGTGGTCTTGGACCTCACTGAATGCTGCTCCTTAATTTAGTGGAAAGGAGAGTAACTATTGAGTAGTGTGTATTACTCTTCTCTCCTTCCCCCCTCCCTGCCTGAGTTCTCTTGATGGCTTAGGGAGCTACAGTAAAGGGTAGGACAAATAATCTAGGAGTTCAGTCATATGGTTGTGGCTAAAGCAGTAAGCTTGCCCTGCATATGATTTTAAAGATGAATAAAAGTGTAATGAAAGCAGGTTGTTAAAGACCTGGGCTCCCTGCTGCAGAGAGTGGATTTTAACATTGTAATACATGATTGCCTTTAATATTTCTATAAATATGACACAAACAAAAAACTACATTAAAAGAACATTATTAAGGTTGCAAAGTCAAGCATTCACAATTTAGGAAATGCCAGAGTTAAGATTGCCTGTGCATGCACACTTTACCATGACACCATCTTTCTCTTCCTGCAATCTCCTGTCTCGTTCACTACACACCCTTCAAAGTCTGCTGCAGAAGAAGCTGGGATACTACAGGCAATAGTCTTCTTCACTATACAACCCTGATTCATCCCTAGAACAGGTTCGTCCTGTACACTGAAGGAGGCAGGGTCCTATGAAAATTATAGTATATGTTAATAATTTGTATAGTCGATTGTCTGACCACACTTTGGTTTGTTATTTCGTTATGAAATATACTCAAGAGACCAAATAACCAATTCAGTTGGGTTTATTAATATAGTACAGAAAAAGGGTTCTGCACAATACCAATCTCCTGAGAGCAGTCCTGTGCAGCAGTATTACGTTCACCTTACGCAGAAGGTGTGCTCCTTGAAATTGGGTCCCTAAAGCCATCTTTTTATACCCTACCTCTTTACCAGTAAAAGGTATATGCATCACCTGAAACTGGATTCAGTTAATCAGCTTTTTACCTTGTTTATTTCTGGTACTGTGGTGTACCCCTTTATCTATTGTTCTGAACCCATACATTCCAGGTCATGATGCACCCATAGCATTGTTCTGAGCACATGCATTCCAGGTACTAAGGGGCGTGAAGACACCTCCTAGGCTTGTACCAGGATAAATAGATTTGTGAGGGTAACTCTCTTACTGTTGCTATGAGGAAACAATTATATGATTTTCCTACCTACTTAAGCCAAAGCTTTCTTCTGCTAATGGAAAGTGTTATGGGATACAAAGTGTTATGGGATAAGTGAACAGGATTATAACAAATGCACAGGCTAATTTGGGCTACATATCTGCTATATTAATGCTTAATATGTATACTTATTACCTCATATATATGTTTGCTATAAGTCAACAATATGTGATCATGCAATTAAAACCTGTATGTATCATAATGTATACACACACAGAGTCAAATTAAGGTTGCCCAGGCAGCCTTAATTCTGGCATTGCCTAATTTTTGAGTGCTTGTCTTTGCAACTTTAAAAATATTATTTTAATGTACTGATTTTTGCATGATTTCCTTAATTTAAAAAAAATCAAACTGAAAAACAGAAAATTGCATCTTGTAGTATCACATTGACACCTTTAGATTCACCACACAGACCTCCGCTGCTTGAGTTAAAGGAGTGAGGGCTGAATGCTCAAAGAAGTTAGATACCTGGAAAAATCACTCTGATTCTCAAAGCCTTAGCATAAGTTCCTTTACAATGAATGGTAAGAAATAGGTGTCTTAGACTAGAGCCCTGCGCAGGACTATTTTTTTTTAATCCCACTCTTATCCCACCCTGCAATACCCATTCCCACCCGCTCCTGCATTGTTTCTTGCAATTTTATCCCGCTCCCACCAGCAATATATAAACAGAATTCAAACACAATTTTTACCACTAAAAGAATAAAACAAATGTTGCTTAAACCATATAAAAATACTTAAACTCTTGTGATAATAGACATCAAATCTCTTTCTAGACCCCACTTAAATTTAAGTATTAAAACCTTTATTTTTAAAAAAGAGAAAAACTTGCTTTACATTGCTGAAATTCTATTTATGACAAACTGATGAGAGATTTAGTATTTTCCCACAATTACCACAGTCTGTCACCCCCACCCCCAAATCCGATCCTGCCCACAACAAACTACATTTTACCCGCTCCTGCTATTATGGCAGCGGATCTTGCAGGACCCGTGGGATCCCAGTCCCGCTGCAGGGATCTACCTTAGACTGCAATTAGCAAAAGCCACCACACTAGACATGGTGGCACCTAAGATAGGCAGTGGGAGATGCTGATGAGAGGGGTATGTGCTAAACCCTACTCCTCTCATGGAGATAGATGCCTGTTTGCGATTCGGAAGTCGGGTACTCTCTTTAGAGTTAGATGCCTTACGCTGTTTTAGCAAGGAGCTGTTTCCAGTGGTGGTGCCCACCTTCTAAATTTTAGACCAATAGTTAGAGCACTCACCTGGGATGTGGGAGACCCAGGTTCAATTGCCCCCTCTCTACCAGGTGGGGAGGAAGACTTGATCAGGGATTTCCCACCTCTCAGGTGAGAGCTCTAACCATTGGGTGATGGGATAGTCTCATGTGGAGTGCCCTCATTCTCTCCTGTTGAAGTTGTTGTACTCTGGATAAATAATTAGTTATTGGAGCAGGGGAACTGGATCCTGGGTCTCCCATGCATTGGGTGAGTGTGTTCACCACCACGCTAGACAGTCATTCTAATTTTTCTATGTGCATTTTCTGTCACTTGCTCTCGTTTCATTTGGACTCTGTATGTGATATAGATGGTTGAACACCTATCTTTCTCCCTGTTTGTCAATCACTGTGTGACTTAGTTAGGAGATATGTGACAAGACACCTTCGGAGATGCAGCTGTTACTCTTGGGGCAATTCTGCACCAAAATATTTAAAATTCTGCACACAATATTTTAAAATTCTGCATATTTTATTTGTCAAAATAACACAATATAATCACACCAGTTTCAATTATTTTAGTAATTTATTTCAAAATACCTGTCAGCAAGTATGTCTGTAACAATAAAGATGATAAAAAAATTCAGGAAATGTTTTTTGACAAATAGATTCCTTACTAGGCATATTAATACAGAACTCTGAGTAATAATTCATTTAAACTACAGTACAGAACCATATTTCCCGCACCTCTCAGAAGCAGTGCAAAGACTTGGGGGAGTCAGGGGTAACAGAGGAGCTGAGGGAGAGGGAAGTAATTGATGGGAAGAAGCCTGGGTATGAACTTGAAGGGTTGTTGGGTATGCATGGGAAAAGTATGGAACAGCTGTTTTTGGGGGGCGGGGAGGGATTGTTAGGGAGCGTCCTCATGCTAACTCTGCCTGACCCTTAGCCTCTCCCATTCAGTCAGGCACATGTGCCCCTGTCCCAATGTGTCTTTGTGCTCCCATTCAGCCATCCCCCTGCCCTCCTGTAGCTCTACACCCTCTGCCCATGTGGCCCTGTGCCTCCGCTCCCATTCAGCCCCTCCCTCAGTCTGTCGTCCCCCACTAGCCCTTATGAGCCCTGCCTGACCTCCCAGCAGCCCCACCGCTGTCTGTCTCCCGACCTGGCCTGACAGGCACTGTGAAGAAGGCAGGCTCTTTCTCTTCCCATCATAGCTGGGGCTTGCCGGGAGCGGTTGCTGTGTTCTAGTGCCACAGCACCTTCTGGTGGGCAAAAGGCGGAACTGCAGAAGTTCTTTTCTGCTGGGAGCTGCTGCTGTGTTCTAGCACCACAGCGCCTTCTGGTGGGCAAAAGGTGGAACTGCAGCAACTTTTCAGCTGAAGCTATTTTCTGCAAAAAAATTTTAAAAATATGCGTGGTACATGAAATATGCACACACACAGTGATGCAGAATTCCCCCAGGAGTAAGCTGTGTGCATGCTCAGAGGCAGAAATGTAGGCACTTAGGGAACTTTTAGTGCAAAAATTTAGGCGCAGAGCGAGTGTAGACACCTGCAGGGTTTGGCAGGGGGGGGTTGTGCGTTGCAATGGTACCAAACCCAGGTTTTAGCTGCCTGTAATAGGGACATAGGCACCTAACTCCTTTTGAGCATCTGGGCCTAACAGATAGCAGTAGTACATTGTTATCCTCTATGTGGACCCGCACTAAGGGGGGATGAAACGCTTTTCCCATGGGTTTCACAGATATTTGCTGAAAGCAGAGGAATGGTGAGACTCGGGTGTTTGGGGTTCCATTCCAGGCTCTGCAGAGGAGTGTGTTCTAGCAGATACAGACTTTTCTGCCCATTCCCCTGGAGCATGACCACTTTTGCCCCATCCCACCCAACCTGTCCCTGTCAGAGTCCTGTCTCTTTCTCATCCCAGCCCTATTCTCCTTACGTAGCAAGTGACGGTCTCTAGTCCTCAGATTTTTCATCCCAGTTCTAGTCTCTTCCCTTCTCCTTGTCTGATCTGTTGCCCTTCTTCTCCTCCCCGGCCAAAGCTCCACATTCCCCAGTCCTGTTCTCTCTCCCCAGGCTTCAATCTCAATGTCCCTACCTACTCCAGCTCCTTATCCCAGTCTGTTTGTCCAGCCGGTCCCAGTTTTACCCCTACACCCTGGCTTATTATATCTGTCTCTCCTGCCGCCACGTTTCCTCCCCTCCACCCCCCATCCACTGGTCTCTTTGCCCAACCTGTCCCAGTCTCTCCCCCCAGTTTCTAGTCCCAGTTTCCCTCCACCACCACCACCAGCCTACAGTCCCAGTCTGCATCCCCAGATTCCTTGTCCCATCTTTACTCCTATTGCTGGGCTGCCTCTTGTACTCTCTGTATTCAAATCAGGCAACTTCCTCTACCACACTGACTGGACCCAGTAGGGGGTGCATTTTGAGAATGGGAGAGACAGTCTTCCTGTTTTTATGTCTAGTGTCTGGTCCCTCCGCGGAGCACAGCAACCAGAGCTGTAACTTCAGGAAAAGTACTGCTCAGCCCCGAGCTGGAGCAAGCTCAGTGTGGACAGAATGTTTGGAGATTTTAGCTGTTAAACTCTAAGGGTTTGTATACACTGCAGCTGCAGGTATGATTTGTAGCTAATGTAGACGGACCCATGCTTGCTGTACTCTAGCTAGCTCGCTAAAAATAGAAGTGAGGACGCCACAGCACGGCTGCACAAGTGAGTATGTACCCAGTGGGACTGGGTAGGTTTGTGCAGCCTACACTGAAACCTGCACTATGGCATCCTCAGTTCTCTTTTTAGCAAGCTAACTAGAGTACAGGTAGGGTGGGTATGTCTATATGAGCTACAAATCACATTTGCTGCTTTACTGAGCAAATGAAAACTACAATTTTTCAAAGGCTTATAACTTGGTCAAATTTGAGCAGATTTTCACAGGGGAAGCAAAAGGCATATCCCTGATACAAAGGCCACCTCAATGCCAAATTTCAAATCCTCAGCTCCAAAGTATGGTGATGCAAGTGCTCCCCCCCCCCCCCCCCCCAAAAAAAACCTCACCAGAATTTTTTAACACAGGCAAACAATGTGTTTTTTCCTATCCTCGTTCTTGGACACAGCAGAATCATTTTGGCTGAATCTTTCTGAAAAAATTCAGTCTGAGGCAATCACCTGGCATTAAAAATTTCAGCCCAAAGGGTTAAAGTTTAGCAAAGCTATAAGCAATTGAAAACAGGGTCTTATAATGGGAAGTGGTTGGGTAACCTTAATAGGCAGTGCTACCAGCCCTACGTATAATATTTGGTTATAACCCAGGTTTTCCAAGATGTTTCCATAGTCGTCGGAGAACTGGTGCTTGATGTGTTTGACTATTTTTAAGGGGTACATTTCAAAAATAGATTGAAGTGATTATATCAGACATTTCAGCCTTCTATAGAATACAAGTAATGAGTGAAAAGCAGGAATGCTAGGAATGCAAGTAGTTTAAAACTTTTTTACGGTTCAGTGAAAATATGGAATGAAGGGGCAAGAGTCTGTTACTGAACTAATGTTTTGTTTGTTGTTTAGGGAAGCTTTTAAATTGATTGGTTCTCAAAGTTAAACATAATTTTGGTGGATTTTTTTTTAACTTTCTAACTTTTGTTAGGACAGGGTAGACAATTGTATTAACTTCTTTTTTTCAGTTCTGGGAACAAAATGATCTCCAAAACATGTTCTTTGTTTATTTAATACAAAAGTATGAACAGCAGTCATGTTTTTAACTGAATTACATTTTTATTGACAGATACAAGAATCTGATGCAGATCCACTTGGAAACAGAAATGGATGAAATTTCAGAGATACATACTAAACTATTGCTTGTAAGTGTCTAATATTGTAATAAGAAGTTCTCCTCAAAATATTGAGTGTATCTGCATTAAAGTCCAAAGGTGCAGTTTTGAAAGATGCTTTCTACAAAGGAAAACCTCTAGATTTTCTTAGCAGCTTTCCTCTTCTTCTGAGAGTTTCTTAGCATACAAAAATTGTGATGCGGTTATTTTCTAAAGAAAAATACAGTAAAAGCTGTGTTATCTGACACTTTACCAACCGGAAAGCTCTATAAACCGGCATTTCAGGAGTGGGTATAGGGCGTGGGCTCTAGGAGAGAGTTTGGGTGTGGGAGGGGGCTCAGGAAGGGGGGTTGGGGCTTTCAGAGTGTCGGATCTGAGTGGTGTTCACCACAGGCGACTCCCCACAAGTGGTGCCATGTCCCTGCTGCTCCTAGGCAGAGGCACGGCCAGGTGGCTCTGCACGCTGCCTCCACCTGCAGGCGCCATCCCCACAACTCCGATTGGCCGCAGTCCCCAGCCAATGGGAGCAGCGGAGCCAGCGCTCATGGTGGGGCAGGGGCAGCGCATGGAACCCCTGTGGTTGTTCCTCTGCCTAGGAGCATTGACCGCAGAGCTGCTTGGCCGCAACTCTGCCTAGGAGCAACAGGGACATAGCGCCACTTGCGGGAAGTCGCCCCTGCTGTTCCTAGGTGGAGGTGCGGCCAAGCAGCTCTGCGGTCAACGCTCCTAGGCAGAGGAACAACCATGGGGGTTCCATGCGCTGCCCCTGCCCCACCCTGAGCGCTGGCTCCGCAGCTCCCATTGGCTGGGGACTGCGGCCAATCAGAGTTGCGGGGGCAGCGCCTGCAGGTGGAGGCAGCGCACAGAGCCGCCTGGCCGTGCCTCCGCCTAGGAGCAGCAGGGACATGTTGCTGCTTGCAGGGAGCTGCCCGAGGTGACCTCTGCCCAGATCCGGCACCCCAAAACCTCTCCCACGCACATTCTAGTGGAAAGAGCAATGTGTCCACTGAAGGAGTCATTCCAGTTATCAGACACTCAGAAAAATAATCTTAGCACAAAGCTTTAAAAAAATCTAAATGTGCTTATTTTGCATTTCATTTGGAAGGATCCCAAAGTTCTTCACATACTTCGTAAAATGTGTATGAATCGTATCACTACCATGTCCTTTGAAATCTGCAGAGTTTTAAATTAGAAAAGGAAATTTAAAAATATTAAATAATGGAGAATTTAATATTTGTCCCAGGATAGTAGTATAGCAAAGTTGTTCCTCTTCAATAGGCTATGTAAATAGGAGAATGAAGAACTATAGAATAGTTTTAATTGTCAGATACAAAACAGACCAGGAATATTCTTGTGGGATGTAGAGAAAGTGAAGGTTTGAGCTTCTCACAGAAAGAGCTAGTATGGCATATAATCCTATCTAGTGCCCTACCAGATTTTAGCTGTCCCTGTGCCCACACTATCTTCCCCTTGTGGCTCATCTTGAGGATGGCGATTACATATCTGCCATGCCAAGAATCTCATACTCAGGGTGATATATTGATGGTGTCTCTGATGGGCTCTTTGTTGATTCTCTGCCACTATTGGTCTCCTGAACCCAGTTGTCATGAAATAAAAACTGATTTTATTAGCAAATTGCAGAAACAGAGAATATTAAAGTAAAATGGTAGGCACATAATACATTCACCTGGGCAAATATCATGGAAAGGTGGTGGTGTTGTTTTGTTTTTTTAGGTAGGTCATGTGGTTAGAAAGTTATTTTTTATGACATTGTGGAGTTCCATGTTTGATGTTTCTCAGTGACTTCAGAACTCCTCTGTTTAAAAGTGTGTGTGTGTGTGTGTGTGTGTGTGTGTGTGTGTGTGTGTACGTACATACGTACGTACTCGATCATAAGCCGGTTCATTTATAAGCTGACCGCCCCCAAGATGGATAAGTAAAAATGGAAATTTTTTATGACCCATTCATAAGCAGACCCTATAATTCAGGGGTCGGCAAACTTCAGCTCCTGGGCCATCAGGATAAGCCGCTGGTTGCCCGAGACGGTTTGTTTACCTTGAGTGTCTGCAGGCAGGGAGGCAAACCTAAGTAGAATCATGGAATATCAGGGTTGGAAGGGACCTCAGGAGGTCATCTAGTCCAACCCCCAGTTCAAAGCAGGACCAATTCCCAGACAGATTTTTGCCCCAGATCCCTAAATGGCCCCCTCAAGGACTGAACTCACAACCCTGGGTTTAGCAGGCCAATACTCAAACCACTGAGCTGTCCCTCCCCCAAGTGTCCTGGCCCGCCAGCTGCTTACCCTGATGGGCTGGGACAGCAACTGATGGGGAAATTTTGGGGGAGGGGAAAGCTGGGGGTCAGGTGAATAACCCCTGTGACCACCCACCACATGACCGCACCCCTAGCCTGGTACCCCCCCACTCTCCCCATCCCATCCCTTCCCACCTTAGCTGGGGCGGCCCAGGGGAGGATGTCTCTGGCCTGGCTGGAGCTGCTCCGGCAGGCTGGGCAGCACAGCTGCAGCCTACTCCGGCGGGCCAGACCGGGCAGCATGGCTGCATTGTGCTCCGGCAGGCACTGGCGGCGCAGCCACACCCTACCAGCCCTGGAGCTGCAGCTGCTTTGGAGGCTGGGGGGAGAGCAGCGTGGCCAGAAGCAGAGAGACTCTGGCCCTTCCTCTTCCCTTCTGGCTCTGCTGGTTATGCTGCCTCTCCTTGCTCCCTCTGTTGGGGGGAGGGGCTGTGTCCTACCTGTTCATAAGCCAACCCCCTTCTCTGATGCTTCCCTTTTTTACTAAAAAAAATCGGCTTATGAACGAATATATATATAAAAGTGTGTGTGTGTGTGTGTGTGTGAATATTTAGCTGCCAGCTATGCTCAACCTGGAATCTGAAAGTCAGTCTGAGTTCTTTCTGGATTGCACCTCAACAAAATAAAGATCATGCAATAAGAATTCAGTTTAGTTTTTTGATATGCAAGCCAAAACAAAAGCCAGCTTGCTATCTTCAAGCAGTATTGTTTCTGTAGCGTTAACAGTGTGAATAAACAACACAAAATGCATTGGGAGATCTAGAGGAAGACTATCTTACTTTATTTTTCTTGTCTTTTATAATGGGTTGGTTGCAGCATTTATATGGTTGAAGGTTGGTGTTAGGAGGCTTCATGGAGAAAGAGTTTGATGCACTGAAGCAGGGAGGAAGTTCCAGGATTGGGCAGCATAGGAGAAAAAGCATGAAGATAGTATCTTCTCTTTGTCTCTCTCTTTCACCTATTTATTGAGAAAATAAATGTTAGCAGAAATATTAATTCCAAAGAAGACACTTTTCCTAATAATGCCATGTTTTGTATGTTCTTAAAGTGAACATTTGAGCTGCTAAATACTTCATCAGTTGTCTAGGCATATTCCTATGGTTGGAGACAATTAGTCAAGTGAGGACTAGGTGGTGGTGGTGGTGGTATTATTATTATTATTATTTATTATAACTATAATAAAGTGAAAATGCACTGAATCCCATCTCAAGTGCAAGATAACTTGTGATTTTTGGCAATGGTAGTGGTGAAACTGTTGTTCTTAAGCAGCTTTCTAGCTCTCGGGGAACAATAGAGACCAGTCTTCAGGACACTGAAAATAAACTGTCTCCTGGTGGATTGCTGAGTGATACCTGGGCAAATCAGGAAGGCACACATCCCAGAGACAGAAAGTAAGTGACAACTTCATATTCATTGCTTGAACATATTATGATTTCTGGACTGACCTACGTTCATTATAATTAACCTTTTGTTTCCACCCACCCTCACCCCCTTCTAGTCCAGAAAAGCTACAAGTATTGCTGAGTTCTATCACAGATATTTATTATCAGTTCAAGAAAGACAAAGCAGAACGTAGTAAGTAATTTTATTTTTAGTATACATTAAGAATAATTAAAAGTATAAAGGACAAGTCAGCCTTAAGTCTGTTCAGATATTTTTAATTGTGATGGGGAGAGATGGCCAACAACAGTGAATATGTCCTCAGTGCTCTGTAGGCAACAGTTAGGAAAAGAATCTGAGGGAATAAGTGAACCACAATTTTGGTTTTATAAATTTAAACATCTGCATAGAAAAAACTAAATGTCCATGCTTGCTACCTAACACTTACCCAGACAGGAAACAAACAATTCTGTAGGATGATGGCTAAATTAATAGAATTAAATCAGTAATATCTTTGATTTCCTCTGATACTAGGACTTCCTTATAATGAGGAACAAATCCACAAATTTGACAAGTAAGTGTTAAAATTACATTTAAAAAAATATCACTTGTGCTAAGGTCCCTGACAAATCTTTGGCGGTTACCTTTCCTGCTGGTTCCTCTTTGTTTGATATAGATTATAAGCTCTTTCGAACAGCAACTTTCTTTCTTTTAATTTCTGTCAAGCATGATGAGAGATTTTATGCATATTTATCAATCATAATTATCTGCTTCCTAGAGATGGGGTAACTTTGTATACCTTGAAATGTGGATGTTAATCACTTGGTCTTTGTCTGAGGGCATATATATGTCTGAGTGCATGTTTATGTAAAATACCTTGTATAAAAGTAGACATTTTGTAATTCCTGCCTCCTTTCCAATTTACTACTTTTAAGGAATGTCTTTCCCTAAAGTGTTCTGCCTTTGCTATTACCAGTGGAGCTCCAGTGTTTTCCCTTTGGAGTCTCCAAGTGTCACTTGGGATCCTGAGCACATCTCATTTTACTCCATACACTCCCAAAAAGAAATTGCTAGAGGATGGCATAAAGTATTGCTTTCTGTTCTGCGACTGCAGTGACTTCAGTGCTGGTGGTCTGAGAACTCAGCTCCTAGATCTTTGGTCTTTTTGGTGGCAGCAGAATTACTGGCTGGCCACTCCAGTCTTAATTGTAGCACTTTATCACTGGGTAGGCAAGTGAGCAGTGTTCATTTCAGCTGCTTCCTGGGTGGATGACAGTTGTGTGAGATTAATGAGAAATCAGGTACTTTGTCCATATATAAACCATACAGGTAAGAGTACCAACTAGCCATCATTCAAGACTTTATTCAGTAAAAGCCTAAAAGCTGACATGGAGTTGCAGTCTTTCAAAATTTCACATCCCATGATTCCACTTCCTAGTTCACACACACAAGCATGGTTAGTGCTGAGACCACTGCCTATCAAGCTGACCAATATTGTCTGACTGTGTCCTCCTTCTTTGCCCATCTGTATCCACCTCTTGTCTTATGCTTAGACTGTAAGCTTATTACGGTATGAGTCTGTGTTTTTGTTCTGTTAGTACAGTGCCTAGCACAGTGGAGTCATGGTCCATGACTGATGCTGCTAGGCACTATGGTAATACAAATAATTAATTATAATAAGAAGCTCCTCTGTCCTTTCTATCCATCATTTCCTTTCCTTAAATATAATCAAGGTTTCAAATTTCAAATGGAAAAAGTAGTATGAGTGCATAGTGTGACGGGGCAAGGCCAGATGGCTATAGTAAAGTAGTGAGGAACAGGTATGTTAGCCCCAGGCTAAACAAATCCCTGGTACTATGGTAACCAAATGGCAGTTGCTCCAGGTTAATCAAGACACCTGGGGCCAATTAAGATCCTTCTAGAAAGCAGTGGAGATAGTGGTTGATTAGGACACCTGAAGCCAATCAGGGGCTGGCTGGAACTAGCTAAAAGCCTCCCAGTTAGTCAGTGAGGTACGTGTGTGTCAGGAGCTGTAGGAGGAAGTTGTGCTGTTGGAGAGACTGAGCAGTACAAACCATATCTGGCACAAGGAAGGAGGCCCTGAGGTAAGGGTGAAGTGGATCTTGAGGAAGTGGGGGCTGCTGTGGAGAAGTGGCCCAGGGAATTGTATGCATCCTGTTTCTAAAAAATCAGCTACCATAGCTGATACTATTAGGGTCCCTGGGCTGGAGCCTGGAGTAGAGGGTGGGCCCGGGCTCCCTCTTTGCCTCCTGATTAATCTCTGAGACTGGGAGACAACAGAGACTGTGCAAGGGAGGGTAGCTTCTCCTCACCTCCCTTACTGGCTTATGATGAAAATGGCTCAGTAGGCTGTGACCCTTGCCTCTAGAGAGAGAAGGGCTACATGGAGGGTCACAGTGAGCCTCTGAGGCTAGTGAAATCCGCCAGGAAACGTGGGACCCACTGAGACAAGGACAGAGCTTTGTCACAACACTTTGTAAATAATAGTTAAAACTAGCCAAATTTTTGCCTCAAATGGGACATTTGAAATTGGAACATCTTGGAAATTAATTTTGAAATATAACCTGGCAGTTCATCCAGTATAAACACATTATAGTAGCACACAAAATAAGTTGGATAAAGTATTTTTTTTAAGACATTTTAAATCTTCATATATACCTCGTATGCCTCAAAGCTTTAAAAAAATAATTTGGGGAATGAAGTCCTGCAAGTGATATAACAATATTCTGTTGATTATTTCTGTATTGCAGGCAGAAGCTGAATTTACATGCCACAAAAGCCATATCTCTGTTCAAAGATGAATGTGTCAGCAAGTATGAGACATTTTTGGACAAGGCAGAGGACTGGATGAGGCAAGAGACTGATTCATTAGAGTTCAACATTGTGACAGCACCATGATTTTGCTGATTGCCTTTTTAAAATAATTTTTTTTTGCTTCCAGAAAGATGCTTCATTTAAGGAAACAGTTACTGACGCTCACCAGCCAGTGTTTTGATATTGAAGAAGAGGTAGCCAAATACCAGGACTATATAAATGAGGTATACTGGTCCTAAATTATGTCCAGTTTTTAGACTGAGTGAGCAAAGGATTCTATTCCATTTCCCTCATCATCATCATCATCATCATCATCATCATCATCATCAACAACAACAACAGGATAGTTTACCAAGTTCCACTTACACCTATGCAAACCTATTGACAGTAATAGGGCTGCACAGATGTAATAGTTTGGCCCGTAGAAGCTGTATTGCTGGTGATGTGTGAGCTGGATAGAACTCCACCTGATTCAGAGTCCGACTGAGTTTACATGATCAGCAGTTTAAAAAAAACCTGAGCAACTTTAGATGTTTTTCAGTGATTCCATATCAAGCTTTTCTATGTGGCTCCCATCACCATAATATCTGAGCATCCTGAACATTAATGAATTTATCTTCATAACCCTCTTCTGAGGTTGAGAAGTATTATCCCCATTTTGTAGATAGGGAATTGAGGCACAGAGACTTGCTTAAGGTCTCTCTCACTCTGTGGCAGAGTTAAACTAGGATTCTTGTGTCCCAGTCTTGTGCCTGAAGAACAAGACAATGAAACCCCGCAATTCCATTTCTACAGTCATTCTTCAGAGTAAAACCATACTTTAGGAACAATATAAAATTGGAAGAAACTGTTAAAATCTCTGCCATGAGGCAGGAATTATTGAATTTTTTTTTTAGCATTCTGACAGTTGCCATTTGGAGTGCAAATCTATTCAGAGCCACCAGAATCAGTTCAAAACCAGGTTCCTGGGGAAAAATCAGAGGCATGAAAGTGTATATCTTGCTTTTTTCTGCAGAATCTAACCATTCATTAAAGATGTGTCAAACATTATATGTATTAGTCTTCATTATATGTATTAGTCTTCATTATACAGTGTCCCCAAATACAGAAAGAAGTCTGAGGGCAAATAAACATATTTTAGTACAACAAAATGACTTTTAAAAAAACACAAGTGTAAAAAAAGGGGGAAAATCCAGCTGATCTCCCTGAGCAAAAGTCTGAGAGGAGCAGGGTAATTACTATATTTATTAATAATGTTACTTGTGCCTAGGGGCCCCAGTCATGGATCAGATCCCTTTTATGCTAGGCACTGGACAAACATACAACAGGGATTGTCTCTGTTCCAGAGAGCTTACAAAAGTGTAAGATGAGAGAATACAACAGACAGACAGGGGAGAGCACAATGAGACAATACTACTCAGCATGATAGGCCACACACAGCTGCCTAACCATTGTCATGGCTTTGGTAGGGGAATATTTCAAGGAGGGATTTGAAAGTGGACATTGAAATGCACATGGCAGTTTGTTGGCCTGTGATCATGTTACTTACTTACCTTATTTATTTATTGCAGTTACAAGAAGCTCTGCGACAGAAAACGTTTGCAGCTTCCACTGGGATCAAACATACAATGAATCCAGTCTATCCAAGCTCAAACACTTTAGTGGAAATGACTCTTGGGTAAGAATTAGATGGATAATTGTAATACTTTCACATGGTTTCTATAGAGGAATTAGAGAAAATGTGTGTTTTTTATTGTTGACTTAACTTGCCGTTTCATTTTTAAAGCAGTTAAGTGGCTACTGCATAAAGGTCGGGCATTTTCTGTCTGTTACAAAAACAAACTGGTATTTCTGAATGCTAGTGTACTTATGGGCATGAGGGAAAAATCATACCATTCACTGTTTCCATTGATCACTTTTGTCAGATTTTGTTCTCAAGCCAACCTAATATGCTTCTCCTTTATTTTGTACACGATTGCAAGTTACTGGAAACTTCATTGTGATGAGTCACTCTAATGTTTGGGCATCTTCAGAATATTTTTTCTTCCAATTTTATTATTAGAGAAATATTTTGACACATTTATTTCATAATGAATGTAACATTAAAACTGGCATGCAATGGATAAAACTGTTTATAATCACTGAAGGCCTTTCTTTTGCTTTTTATTATACAGTATGAAGAAACTGAAGGAGGAAATGGAAGGTGTTGTTAAAGAACTAGCTGAGAATAACCACATTTTAGAAAGGCAAATAGTAATTTTTACGTTTTGCTGGGGGGTGTTATAAGTTGGTATGGAAGTTAATGGATCCAGTGACCAAGAAAATGGGAAATTTTATCTCTTGGACAACTGCAGTATAGATACTTGTTTCCAAATTGTTGCTCTGAGACATGTTTCAAGCTGATTTGGCAACAGTTTTTGTCTTTATTTGAAAACAATGCTATTTGTTCCATTACTGTGGAAGTCAATTTGTGATGCAGGTAAAAGCACCAAGAGAGCTGAAATTACCTAGGGCCTCTTAACGAAAATAACTGTTGCTCAGAGTGGGGAATGCTGGATTTACACAGTATTTCTTGCAGTGATCCACAGGCTCTTATCTAAACTTTTTTAATTTTCAGATATCACTTTAAGATTAATAACTATGGAATGATACCAATCTGTATTAGTCATTCTGCAGTTTTAGCATTAGCTGTAATGAAATAGGACTGAGAAAAAAAGTCACTCATACTTTCTATAACAGTGCGTCTAAAACTTTTTTTTTTTTTACTGGTGACTCCTTTCACATCACAAGCCTCTGAATGCGACCCCCCTAATAAGTTAAACATACTGTTTTATATATTTAACACCATTATAAATGCTGGAGGCAAGCGGGGTTTAGGGTGGAGCTTGACAGCTCGTGACCCCCCATGTAATGACCTTGCAACCCCCTGAGGGGTCCCTACCCCCAGTTTGAGAACCCCTGTTCTCAACCATGTTGAAACAATGCTTTCTTTAATGGCACCGAAAATGATTCTGTTCTGTCTATGCTAGCAGTCAAATAATTTTCATTCACTGGTTATGGGGTATCCATTGCAGATGGCAGCTATTAGTAATGGGTCCATTTCCTAGTGTAGATAGTGCTACACAGGTGTTATGATCTGCCTAAGGCTTCCTAGTGAATTAGTGAGTCAATGGTAGCAGTGGGCCAAGAACTCACTTGTTCCTGGTTCTCAGTCTTATGCTTAGATCATGTAGTATCCTGTTGCACACTCTTCATGTGTCTCCAAGAATACTATTTACTATTTTAAGAAATAAATGTGTGTTGGGGTGTGGCAAGAGGGGCGAAAGAACATAATTAAGTTATAGTTAAATGAACTCAAAAAAGAAACACATTTTAATTTTATTCTAGAGTAAGGGTTAATTTATTGTGTATTAAATCAATTTTAATCAGCTAAGAATAAAATGTTTCTTTCACTTTAGATTTGGTGCTTTGATTGTGGATGGTGGCCTACGGAATGTAGACTGTATCTAGTCAACAAAGGAGCATGAAAGGACTGTTCATTTTTCACAGAAAAAAAAACGCCATAAGGGGCATTTAAATGCAGAAAAACCATTCTGTACAGCAATTTTTTTCTGCAACTCTAGTATTTAACAAAAGTATGTAAATATGTATATACTGTAAATATAACAATTATAACAGTCTTTTTTGTTAATGTTAAAATAGAATTACTGTTAAGTTTTCTGAGATGGTTATACATTTTATCCCTTTAAGGAACTCTGGCAAATGATTACGGCAAGCATAATGCTATATACACATTCATGGAATGTTGACTTTCGGGTCATGATTTACTTTTGTTTCTTGAAAGGGAACTTGTGGCTTGAACTAGCCTGCATTCACAGAAGTTATGAATAGTTTTTAAAGCAGTGGTTCCCAAACTTAGGGGGGTGTGGAAGAATGGTTGGGGGTACTACTACTTTAAAGGGTGCCTGGGCTCCCCTTAATACCAGTGTGTTATTTCAGAACCTTGTCAATGACTCATCATCAGCTACAGTACTTGAATGAAGACCATTTGATCTTGTCTTTGCTTCTGTAATTCAATGTGAACAGCATGCACTTAGGACAAAGAGAGGAGATACGTTTCTTCCCCCTTGTCTACCAAGTTAATAGTCCACTTGTGTGTCAGAAAATAAATTCACAAGGTTTTTAGTCCTGTCCATGTTGGGTGCCATGTTCTCCATGATAATCATTTGGCTAAGTATTATGGGAGTTTAGTGTTGGAGTCCATAAACCATTTTCCGTCTTGCTTCAATGCTTTTAACATCAGCAAAATAACTATTTAAAAAAATGTAATTCTCAGAGACCAAAATCAACAAAGTACAATGTCACGGCTTATGACTAATAAGATGTTAAACTTGGGAAGGAAAATAGAGTAATACTTTCTTACATCTGTGGTACCCCATACTGGAGGCTTCTGGCATCTAACAAAAATTATTTTAAACCAAAAGCAGCTACTAAATAGAAAAGTTAGCACATTCAAAACCAGTAACTGCACCCAGCCCAACCCCAAATACAAAGGAGCCCAGCCCTGCTCCTCCAACACTGCACAACTCAGCCCCAAACGTGGAGAAGAAAACTGTCAGCTCCAAAACCTATGAAATTAAAAAGGAAGCAAATATCCTGAGTCTTGCCACCTATGTAGTCTGCTGCGTATTGTTGAGGAAGAGCATTCAAGGATCATGGGCTCTCTGAAGCAAAGGCCTCATCCTTTCTCTTTTGAGACAATGCCATGGATGGCCAACTGTTTCATCTCTGCCATTCCTATTTTCAATAAGGCATGTAGGGTAACATAGTCCCTCAGATAGATTAGTCCTAGATTATTTCATGCTTTCTATAACAACAGTAAAACCTTGAAGCATGCAACCAAATAAAAAGCAGCCAGTAACAGATACATGTGTGTAAGACTCAGTTTTGTGATGTTTATTCCCCTGTCTTTCTGCCCCCATCACAGTATAGGAATAAAAATTTCAAAATGTATTTTATACTTAAAATAGAAGTTATGAAGTTGGTATTTCTGGTTGGTTGCTCCAATATTAAAGCAGGATATACACTGTTTTACAGTCTCTGATACTGGGTTCCTGTCCTTGCCTGTTCAAATATCATTTACCCCTACATATAGTAAAAGATGTTCCTCAGTTTGCAAACTTTTTGGAAAAAATTGCTCTGCAAAATTGGTGCAGCAAAAAAAGAAGAAAAAAAATCCATTTTTTCTGGTTTAGCCATGTCATTTAAAAGTGTTTACTTTTGAAGTATTTAAATTATGGGAATATTTTAGGGTCTGATTGTGCTAGCATGCACATGAATGACTTCATGTCAGTAATCCTGCTGAATGTTAGTAAATTTTATGTGCATAGATGTTCGAAGGATCAGGTCCTTAAACTGTACATAAATGTATATTAGAATCACTGAGATTATTTCTATGCCTATGTTATTTCGTTCATTATTTTAAGATATTTTAACTTTGTAAAACCAATTATATTGGTTGAAAGATCGAATCAGTTAAGCATATTACTGATTACTTTCTTATGAAACATCCCTTATTGGCTTTAGTCCTTGATGCATGGTGTGTGGTGTACCATGAGATTGGCTGTGTTCATACCAACTGTCATAATATTGTCAGTCCTTAATATGGAAAGTAATAGGTTTGCCAAGACAGACAATTGATAGTATTATGTTTTTTTCCCCCCTCTGAAACTGAATTACTACTTTAGAGTTATAGTGTTAAGTAACTGATTAAAGTAATACATTAGCAAGCCTGTCTACATATTAATTGTAAAACTGCATGAGTGAATGACTTATATACATAAATGCAATATCAACAACTTATTCTAAGATATGTCTTTAATTTCCAGGCTTCTTTTCATCATTTATTTTCATTTTGTTTTGTAAAAATTGGCTTTTAATTTTCATGATATACCATTATTTCCCCCTTAAGCCCAAATGAAATATAAGGAATAAAATTACAAGTGTCAAATCATTATTTAGATTGCAGTAACAGCAAAAGTGTGCTCAGTACTGTCCTAATACAGAAAAGAGAGCTTCTGTCCTGCACAATAATGGAAGCACTAGCATAGAGTAGGTGCCAGCAGCAACTAACTTTTTTACCACTGTATTGTTTAAGCTTGTTTTGAGCAGTGTGGGTGTGCACAAGTTGTGTCCCCTCAGTGCCCATCCTACCTGATATCTTTTCTGCACAGGAGCTCCCACTGGTGGAGCTGAATCATTGCTAAGACAATAGCAGAAGTTGTAAGAAAAGGGTCACTGTAGTCACAGTATGTGGGACTTCATAAAATACCTAAAAGGTATAATGCTACAGCATGGATTATAAAAGGCAGCAGGAGACACTTCAATCATAAACATTTTAAAAAAGTTGAACAAGCCTTGAAAGGGACCAAAGGTGAAACAAGGAACAAACAAGCTAGAGAAACCGGTTTGGGTAAAATTAGAACCAGTCTCTAGCCAATTCTGAAACAGCTCACTCTTTCATTTAAGTTTGACTGCCAAGTATTCCAATATGTAACTTTCATGCATGTTTCCTACCTGTCACTTTCTGATTTTTTATTTTTTTTGATGGATGTATAACTGTAATAGTTCCAAAATGACTAGCCTCCAACCAACCTGAGACTAATAGTTTCATTGAAGCAGAGAGGAACGACATCAACTTTTACAATAATACTTGTTGGAAAGCACTAGGGGTATCTCTGGTAACCAGAGGAGACTAGGGTCTGGTCTATGCATAAAAGGTTTACCACCACAGCTGTGTTGGTTAGGAGTGTGAAAAAATCACAACTTAACCAACATTGCTATGCGGGCAAAAGCCCTAGCGTAGATGCGCTTATACCAGCAAAAAAATCCTTTTGCCTATATAGCTTATTTCATGCAGGGAACTCTTGCCAGTATAAGCCATGTTTCCACTACGAGGATTTGCCAGAGTAGTTATACTGGCAAAAAATCTAGTGTCAACAAGATCTAGGCATGCATGGAAGAACCTCTGCAGTACTGTAGCAAGGTCATGTAGCAACTGCTTTAGTTAAGGTTATACAAGTTACTGTAAACCTCCTTTTTCAATCATTCAAACTTTCTGAAAGCTTTGCCTCTTGAACTGAAGTTTTTCATGTTTAGTGCCAACACAAAGTTTCTTTTGATTAATTGGAGAAGACTTCAGTCAAATCTGAGTTCTGTACAGCTTAAAAAGCAAGTTTTCCTATTTAATAATAGTGCCAGTTATTTGTATCACAAAAACAGATGAACTGTTACATGTGAAACTTTGTATGGATATAGACCTTGCTCTGCAATGTACATGATTCACTACAGTTTAGAAATATGGGGTGAAGAAATTAGAGTTGTTGCTGTTTAAAATTTGCCCAGCTACTCATAGAAAACACAGCTAAGTTCTGAGTTATTATATGAACCCTGAATGTGCCACACATGTGCGCAAAGCTAACTTAGCTTTCCAATAAAATCCCTAGTCCCTTACTTGCTAAAAAACGGTGCGGGCATTTTTTCAAAAGGTTAAAGGAATCCCAGAACTTGGAAAAGGGATCTCCCTCCTGCACTCCTCCAGTATTCTTCACCAAATTACTTTTGCACATGGCTTGGGACACATTGGTACATTTTGCTATAAGGTAAAGTTTGTCTGTGCAGGAGACAGCTTTCTGATCAACGAGTCCAAGACTGTGGCACAAATTCTCAAAAGAACTAATCAGCAGAAACCTTAGCACTTTCCCCTCTAAGTGCCACTTCTTCCACCTTGTCTTTTCTAATAAATATGTGTATTAAACAAACAAAAAAATCTACCAAAATGAAATACTGCATTGCACACAATTCTCTGGGGGAAGAGGTTGAGAGCGAGAGAACAAACTACATAAGCCAGATGTTAGTCATGTTCCATGTACTACTGGAAGGTGCTCACGTACTATGGGGATGAGGGCAGGTGGTATAAGAGTCTATTATGGTATAGTGGTAGCTGTGCCATAATTAAGATTGCATTACAGTTTTAAGAAGAATTTTAAACTTGTATTTGTAAAAATCTCAAAAATGGCAAAAAATATAAACTGAGCATTTTGAAATTTTCATGGTGGTTTGATTAAAATTAATTGATACAGAAAGAGTTAAAAAATCATCCTTTCTGGTGATTTTTTCCACAGGATTGTCCCGCTTTTCTTTGTACCCCTTTTGCAAGAAACCTAAAATACTGTGCAATCTATCTTTTGGGTACATTTTTGCTCCTTGTTTATTGATTCTTAGAATATCAGTTACACAGTTGTGTATGTCTATAGAACAGGGGTCGACAACCTTTCAGAAGTGGTGTGCCGAGCCTTCATTTATTCACTCTAATTTAAGGTTTCGTGTGCCAGTAATACATTTTAACGTTTTTAGAAGGTCTCTTTCTATAAGTCTATAATATATAACTAAACTATTGTTGTATGTAAAGTAAATAAGGTTTTTAAAATGTTTAAGAAGCTTCATTTAAAATTAAATTAAAATGCAGAGCCCCCCGGACCAGTGGCCAGGACCTGGGCAGTGTGAGTGCCACTGAAAATCAGCTCGCGTGCCGCCTTCGGCACGCGTACCATAGGTTGCCTACCCCTGCTATAGAATATTTTATTACTTTTTAGTCATAACAAAAGATATGTCAAATTTTAATTTGGTGACATATTGGCTTTGGGAAGGAGAAAATTCCTGAACTGGGAAAGAGGAGAGCAGGAGTGTGTATTGTCTATTTTAAGTGCTCTTGCAATTCACTACCCTTATGATTGATTACACCCACAAACCCCAACCTAGAAGGCAGGGAAGAGGTGCTGAAACTCTTCCCCCTTGCCCTCTGCAAGCAGAGAATCTAGGCCTCTAATATGACAAACCCCAATCTTGTCCACTGCATCACATTGCTTCCTTTCAGAGTGAGTAAACCAGATTTCCTTTTCCTTTCTGTAACTACTATAAACCACACTCCTTTCCCAGAGCCAAGTATAGAATTCAGGATTCCTAATTGCCAATATTCTACTGCTGACTGGTAAACAGTTATGTAATCCAGTGTTAGTGTGTGTCAATTCCTCTTCCAGTGGTTGTTCTAGTACAGGACTAGTAATTATTTCTGTAGCTCAAAAAGTAAAGGCCTAAGCTAGGGATTTGAAGGTCAAAGAATTCAAATCCTGCTGCTGGACTATGTGAAGGCTGGCATGGTCACATGTGATTCACACAGTAAAAAGACGTCTTTAAAACAGGTTTGTACCTAAAAGCTATGACAAACTGTAAATATAGTGTGAATCGCCAAAATACATGTCTCGCATTTCACCTCTCTCTCACTTTGCTTGTAGCCCATTGGTCGAAGTGTATGTTGTGTCCCCTCAGTGCCCAACCCAGAGAGGATGTGAGTCTGTAACAATTCTCACCGTGAGAATGTGGCTCTTCAGCACAAGCCATAAAGGCTCATGCTTTTAGCTCTGAAAGTTATTGTTTCAATCATTGGTGTTGGCCAACATGGCAGCCATCACATTTTCGGGTGTCCATATTGGCATGTTTGAAGGTTTAGAGAATGCTTCATGCTGGCAGAGATAGGGGAGAGCAACCGGCAGACATGGGGGTATAATGCAGATGTGTACATGCTGGAGCTGCTGCTGGCTGTATCCAGGTTCTGGAAGTCCACAACAGGCTGTGGAGTGTTTCAATAAGTGAATGATTACACAGACGCCTTCTCAGAAATTCCCTCCAGATGACAGGTTATACGGGGGGGTGGGTAAACTACGGCCCGTGGGCCAGATCCGGCCCACCAGCCGTTTTAATCCAGCCCTCTAGCTCCCACTGGGGAGTGGGGTCTGGGGCTTGCCCCGCTCCAGCCGGGGAGCCAGGTCGGGGGCCGCTCCACGTGGCTCCCAGAAGCAGCTGCATGGCCCCCCTCTGGCGCTCCAGCCGGGGAGCAGGGTCAGGGGCCCCGCCACGCGGCTCCCAGAAGCAGCAGCATGGTCCCCCCTCCGGCTCCTTCATTATATGGGCAGTCAGGGGCCTCTGCTCTGCATCCTGCCCCTGCCCCACGCGCCGCCCCTGCAGCTCCCATTGGCTGGGTACTGAAGCCAATGGGAGCTGCAGGGGAGGTGCCTGCGGATGAGGCAGCGTGCAGAGCCGCCGGGCTGTGCCTCGCATAGGAGCAGGAGAAGGGACATGCCTCTGCTTCCGGGAGTCGCTTGAGGTAAGCGCCGCCCGGAGCCTGCACCCCTGAGCCTCTCCCCATGCCCCAACCCCCTACCCCAATCTTGATCCCCCTCCTGCCTTCCAAACCCCTTGGTCCCAGCCCGGCGCACCCTCCTACACTCCAAACGCCTCATCCCCCAGCCTCACCCCAGAGCCCGCACCCCACTCCCCAGCCCGGAGCCCCCTCCTGCACCCTGAACTCCTTATTTCTGGTCCAACCCTGGAGCCCTCACCCCAACCCCAATTTTGTGAGCATTCATGGCCCACCATACAATTTCTATTCCCAGATGTGGCCCTCAGGCCAAAATGTTTGCCCAACCCTGGGTTATATTGTCACTGCTAAACGTGGAGGATTGCTCTTGGTATGTTTACTTACAGTAACTTTAAGGTAAAATCTTACACAAAGATATTACTAAGGTACTAGCCTCTCATATTCTTCTGTCAGGCTGACATAGAAGCAACTTCATAATCACTGTTTCTCCCTGTGATTCCCCAGCAGATACATATCCTCATTTCTGTGAATCTGGGGAGCTATCCATGAGATACACCAACACTGTATAAAAAAGCTAGACAATTAGCAAACAAAAACTACATGTAGTGACAGGTAAGGTGGTGTTTCAGGAGGGGACACATCCCAGCAACCCAAAATATTAAATACAAAGAAATAAGGGGAAAAACTCATGCATTCCTTTCCACCTTCATAGTGCTTTATCACTGTTGATAATATATTCTAATACTCCTTAAAACTCACTTCAATTTCCAACAGATACTCAAAAAACAATTCACATCCTAACTTCACCATGTTGCAGTCTAATCCAAAACCTTGACAGTGACTTCAGCAGTGCTAACTCAGAATAACTTCCCAAATGCTTGGAATGTGTGACAGTCAGATATGCTAATCTGTCATACAATGTATATAAAAGCATATGAAGTCACTGTTAAGGTTTTGCATTAATGTCCAAGTTTGACGAAGCTGTGTTATGATGCAACCCTGTCACTAAACAATTTTGTTTGCTAATACAGACGCCCCCGGGTTACGCAAACCCGACTTACACAAATCCGCACTTATGGAAAAAGTTCAGTAAGCTAGAAATAGGATTTTTGTTTTGTTTTGTTTTTGTTTGTTTTTGCATAATTGTCAGGTATACGTTTCCAATTTACGCAAAATTTGAGTTACGCAAGGCGTTCCGGAACGGAACGCCTTGTGTAAATCAGGGAGCATCTGTATCAAATAGAATGGATATCCTCCCTAGGGCTGGACACCAAGAATTTCTGAATTCTGGTCTTATTACTTACACTCCTGCTCTTAATTTTCTGTGCTTCCCAGAAACTGCTGGGGAGTGTGGTGGGAGTCAAATATTACTCTTATTTACAGATAAACTCTTTATACCTCAGGGAGCCTCAGGCCTTGGCTACACTTGCGAATTACAGCGCAATAAAGCCACCCACAGCGCTGTACCTCACTCCCCGTCCACACTGGCAAGGCACATACAGTGCTGTATCTCCGCGGCTACAGCGCTGCTGGTACTCCACCTCCCCGAGAGGAATAAAGAGTATTCCGCTGCTGCGGCGCCAGTGTGGCCGCCCAATGTGCTCTG